AATCTGCGCCGATTCTAGCTATCGCGTTTAGTATTGTTGAAAAAACCTTCTTCCACCAATAATGGTAGGTATATTCAGTTTTTTTCAACAATACTTACATTTATAAAAAGAAGAAAATCTGTAGGAAGAAAGCAACGCTTATGTTAATTTTTAAGTATTTAATACTCAGAAACTAACATAAGCGTTGGTTTCTTCTTACAGATTTTCTTCTTTTTATAAATAAATTTGCTGATGATGAAGGATTAATCCTTCGAAACATGTCCTTTTGTCCATGACCAATGGCCATTATTAAATTGTTTATGTGGTGGAGTTGTAAGTTCTTTCACCCCTCCTGATCTATAGGATTTTTTTGCGGCAGATTTTCCACGATTTAGGTAAGTGAAGACAGTATTATTTTACATATTATTCTATAGAAAACTTTTTGTATTATGTATTCGCAACAATTTTACTCATTGCCTCTTAGCATTATGCATGTTTATGGATATGAAATGTAAATTCCCGATTACTTCGGATTAGTAAATTCCCGCTAATTAATCCAGAGAAATGAATAAACGGGCAGGGCAAAAGACGCTGGACTGTTTTATTCTAAAAAAAAAGAAGCCAAATGGTGAGGCGTCTGTGCCGGTATCAAAATGAATGAGCAGCAATATGAATAATATGATACAACCTGTCCAACAGGGTTCATAGGAAATTCCGAAGACGTGCTTTCAGTTTCATATCAGTTAGAAACTGACTCGAGTCCTGGTCCTGCTCAATATTTGGGAGAAGTAGATGCAGGAAGTTACATTCATAAAGATAGCATGAGTGATTTGGAGAAGTATAACCTATTGAAGCACACATTTGTCTTACCGTTCAGTTCAAATTTCCATTTTCGGTGCATTGTAAAAACCAAAATGACGTCAAATGGTTGTTATCTTTCAAACATTTCAACTCTTTTTCATGGCTGACATATTCTAGTAGTTTGGCTGTTTTATTTTGCAAATTTTGCGTATTCTTCGCCAAATTTGGAGGTATACATGAATTAACCATATTGAATTTTGTCAAGTATTTTTAAGAAAAAATATTAAAACCAAACAGATATTCTCGTTTGCTTGATCCCCCCCCTCCATAAAAAGAAAGTGTCTACGCCCTCTCAAAACAAAAGAATTTAAAATAGCTCATTAATTGAACAATCTTGTTGTTTGGATCACTCCATTTGCTTGATCCTATAATATGCCGAGAACTTTTCGATCGACCATCGTAGTTTACTATCTCTTGATGTCCCGACGATGGACGCTAGTTGCGTTTGTTGAGTCACGAACATTTGACCCCCATATGATAATGGGCCTGACGAAGAAAATTCCAGTAATGTTGAAAGCTATTTATCTTTTTAGCAAAAACATTGCTGGGCTAGCTGGTGCCCATACAAATGAGTTTTGCTAAGGAACTGTAATTGGACTAATGCTGGTTGGGTGAAATTGCTGGGAACTTGGTTTTCTTTCTTTTTTATTCAGTGAATCAAAATATGCCAGTGAGTTTATGACTCAAAAACATAAACTTTTTGACATGATGCTTGCAAGTCGACAAACAAGTTTATTATATCGCTACACATAGCCCCCACAAATAGCGGAATTTGATGATGGTTACCAATTTTTTTTCAGGACAAAAAAACATGTTAGATTGTCATTCATTTGTTATCACATATTTTCCAGTAGTGCTAATATCAGTTGAATAGCGTTTCCGTTTGAATTTGATATTCTTATCATGGGCCACATTTCCTGTGCACACTACTGTATTATTGTGAATAAATCGAAGCCTGGCGCTAAACATTCCATATCATTGGTAATTTTCCAAGATTAAGTATCAATTATTGAGACCCATTGGTAATAAAAAACTTAATATTGCTATTCCACATCAATTTTGGTGAATGGATAATAACTTATATCATTATTATTATATTATTTTTATTATGTCCCAGGAGGGAAATGTTTTGGATACGTATTTTTTAGATGAAATATATAGAATTGAAACTCTTAAAATATCATATAATATCATAAATAAAAAATTGAAGTCGAATATTATTTTCTGAAATTCATAATCATGAAACTAGACAAATATAACTTGTTTCATCTTGACGCCGCTAGCTCCATAAGTGGACAAAAAAGACTCACTCATTCAGCCTTAACTGAATTCAATAAACTACCTGACAATATAAAAAATTGCAGAAATATAGGTACATTCAAGAATGAAGAAAAAAACTGATTATTTCTGAGCGAACTGGGTAAAATTAATCATGCCATTTTTTTTACTAATATTATTCTTTGTCAATTTACGGCGATTTACGGTTGGTGATATATTTTGAATGACGATATGTTTACCTATAGGTATATAATTATGTACTTCCTTATACCAGAGCCTATTCTGTCTGGAATTTACTTGTACAATAAATAAATAAATAAATAAAATATATCTACTACTCATATATGAATCATAGCTGTCCTAAAAGGGGAACCAACTTCTGTCTCTATAGGTAATGAAATCGACCAATAGGCGTTGATGCTGAGGTAGGGAAAAAAGAATACGAAACTTTCCAATATGGCTGTTTCCTCGGCTGTTTCCATCCTTCACTTTCCGTCCTTATAGATTCAAAAAGTACCTCTCATTTTGGTTCCATTTTTGTTGAGATATCGTATAGGCGATGCGCCGTATATAGAAAGAGTAGATATATGGTTTTTAATTTTTAAAAATGTTCTGGGATCATTGTTTTATACTCATCAAATAGGTACTAGGACACTGAATGATTTTAGATTCACCTATGTTCCTGGAACTGGTTATGAAAGATTTCTAGCAATTTCAGTATCTTGATGGGTTTTGTGAATACTTTCAGGTCTTTCAGAAATCCTATAAAATCTCCCAAATCGGAATTTTTCAATATTGATATTCCCTATAGCTTGAAAAAAGTATTTCATATTGATAATAATTAGTAGAGGTTCCTACCTTCAGAGGGCTTGAAAAGTTGAGACTTGCAAGATATTACCTACTTGTTTTGTACAGGGTGGCTGGTATTTGACTAAACCATTAGTTACAGGGTCGGTTTAATTATGGCAGAATTGTGCAATTTTAAATTCCGTTTTGAAAATTTAAAATTTCTTCTTTGGAAAAACCAAATATTCAGGATTCAATTTTCATTATTATATGACTATTTGAATAGATGTACCTACCAAAACAAATTACACTTGCTACTTTTCTATGGTGCTATCAGATTTTCAAACCAACATTTTGTCTTTGAGCTGCCATAATAAACTTTGATTTTTTAAATAGGGCCCTGTATTTTTTATTATGGATTTTGGGAACTCTCAATCTCCTAAAATCAACACTGTATTGCAGGCATTGGAAAAATTCAGATAAATGGACTTTTCCATAAGAACCTATGTGTTAGAGAGAGACAGAGAATAGATTTTTAATAGGGATAAAAACAATCACCTTTTTCAAATGAGTGCCATACACTACTGATTTCAGGAGATTGAAATCCCTCAAAATCCATAACAAAAAATACAGGGCCATATTTAATAAGTAATAAAAAAATGGAAAATAAATTGAATCAGGAATATTAGTTTTTTTCAAAACTCTTTAGAAGCATTAGGAATTTTCCAAATTTCCAAACAGCATTTTGTTAAGGATAATATTGCATGACTTTTCCATAAGTCCCTGTATCTTTTAGAGTTTACAAGGTCCCAATGATGAGGCTTGAATTCCAGCCACCCTGCATATGATTCAAATGGAAAACAATAATTGAACTCATGTATCAAGACCTGTTATTTGAATTTTGAATTCCGAAAATTCTGCATGATAAATAATTGTGATGAATCAGTTTCCTCCACAAACAATAATATTAGGACAGGTATGTTTTGCTCTTGATTCCAATGATATACTTCAACATGAATCAGCTTACCTGTATGTCCAATAATACTTCAGTTTTACGTCTTCTTATCTCAATCAAAACTCTTTGCTGCTCTGCAGTCAAATCTGAAAGAGAACATTGTTTACTTTCTAATCCTTGTAAATGTAATAAGTCCCAAAAAGTTTTTAGACTAGAAATGTTTGAGAAATCAAATGACTATGTGTCATCAGGATATGATCTAAAATTGGCAGATAATGACTCATATTCATAAAAAAATTAATAAAAACTGTGCTTTGACCTTTATCATAGTATATTACTTATTTTTAAATCATAAGAACTTACAAGAATTCATCTTTCAACCAAAACCAAAGAGATTTGCCAATGCTCCACATAATACGTCAGGGATGTCTCACTGTCTCGAAAAGTGATTTGAATATTTATCTTGGTGTTGTAAAAATTATCAGATGTACTTATTAATTATAGTGATAATGGTACATATTGTGTATGGATTCAGGCCCATACATCACTCATTAAGCTTACCGGATATATTGAATGTGTCCAAATTGTGTCCAGTTGTGCCCATTGCAAGAATTCTCAATAGAGAAACATTTGCATTAATGCACCAAACAAAAAACAGAAATCATTTTGGGTCTATAAATAATAAATTAGTGAATTTTATAAACAACTATTTTGACACGGCCGCCATTTCTAATAAATAATACGTCAATCGTCAATTACGTCATATGTCATCATTGTCAAATGCAAATGTCTTCTTACTTTTAATTGTGCGTTCCTAACCAGCGGTTGACATCTTCTGATTTTTAGTTTCTTTATTCTTGAAGGCTGCCAGCAAGGTATGCTATTCTTCTTCTTCGTATTTTGCTATCACGTCCAAGCCGGCCCGAGCCAGTTTCTTCCCCTCGATTTTTTCACAAACATCGATTTTGGGCCTGGTAGAGGGGAGAAGTTAGAAAAGACGCCGTGACATCATCGCGTCATTTAATTTCAGATAGTTCTCGCACGCGCGCTCTTATAATTGCGCGGGTGGCCCTACGAAAAACTTGTAAATAGGAAAAAATAGCATTGACAAGAGAAAATAGTCACCCAAGAATATTAGAATATGCCGCAATTAGATCGAGCGAATCAAGTCAAAAATTCTGATTCGGCACCAATTATCGTTAAAAGTGCAATTCCCAGAAAAAGGTGAGTCAAAAAGAATAAATAAATGAATGGGCCTGCACAGCAGTACGGATTGCTAATTCACCATAGCAGGGCCGCTCCTAAAATGGAATATTTCTATTTTTATATTGTGAAGGCACACGGCGGGAAATGCGAAATAATTGGGATATAATTGTTTAATTTAATGCAAACATTTGTTCTTATATATATGTGATCTCCATATCCTGTATCCAAATACCAGGGGCGGATCCAAGGGGGGGGCCATGGGGCCATGGCCCCCCCCTCGGGAACCTCATGGATATGTAAAAATGTAGGTATTTTGAATGAATGAAAAAAATAGTGTATATGTCTCCATAGCTAGAAACTTCGCAACAGCTATGAGAATTTGCGAATTTGTAATATCACTCCGCTGTTTGGCAAATATATTTTCGATAACACTGCCACTCAGTAATTTTCTCCAAACAAAAAACTTAGACAAGAAACAAGCTAACGATGTTGTTAGTATCACTCTTCTGAAGCTTCAAAATAAAAGGGATGATATTCTAAATACTATCTAAGTATTTCGAATGAAGCCAAACAGAAATTAAAAGAACTGAATGTTGAATTTTCGATGCTGAGAATAACAGGGAGACTGGTTCATAGACCGAATCCTACGGTTTCCTCAGTGGATGACCATTACATAATAACAGTTTTCATCCCAGTATTATCCTTGATCTGAATGATAGACTATCAGAAAATAAATTGAATCTATGCAACCTTCACCTTCTTGTGCCATCAATAACTAAAAACAAAACAGATGAGGAAATATATGAGGTATGAGAAATATACTTGAACAGTCTCCGACCATTTATGAATGATGAAATGTTCTTTCAGAAGATCGTTTCTGAAATGTATATATGGAAGAAAATGAGGGATACTTAGCGAAATATACCAAACAATGGTATAACTGCCCTGAAGGAATGTAACAAACATTTATTTTGTTTCCTAACATAAACATTCTTCTGGAACCATTATGTTGCCTGCCTGTAAGTGTTGCATCTTCTGAAAGAAGTGTTTCAACACTCAGAAGGCTGAAAGATTGGATGAGATCCAGAATGGTCCAAGACAGGTAAAATGGATTGGCATTGATGCATATTCATAGGGGCATTTGCAGCAGTCTGAATGTTGATGATATCATTCAAAGATACGCTAGGCTTAAGAATAGAAAACTGTAATTTGTTTTCTTTATTTTATATATTTTTATTTCTGTCTGCTTAATTTGTTTTGTTTTTTAAATGAAATATTTGTATTCACTTTTGAACCCAAGTTCTTCAAGGGAAATATTTTTTATTTACTTTCTTTATCCAATATGATTTATTACAGAATTTTACATGTATTGATGGAATAAAAGTTTGAACTTGTTTTTTCACACCAGTAATTTCGATACTTGGGAGGAAACTGAAGATTTCATGTTTACTATAATCAATTTTTTTAATGAAAAAGCATTTTGTCTCAGAAGGTCACCATATAATTTCTCTTCCGCGCTAACCTTATTGAGCCGTGACATTCTATGGCCCCCCCTTCAAACATCGTCTGGATCCGCCCCTGCCAAATACTTATAGTCATTCTTCAGGTTTATTGAGAAGTTCCATATATAATGGATAATATATATAATATATTATCTATATCTGTGTCCACGGAGTCTGAAACATATATTATCAAATTATCTGGACTAATTATATATAAGAAATGTTGTCATTCATGGGGATTGTTTTTCGAATTTATTAATTTAATGAGATATATAGGTAAAGAAGGCCCTATATTCTCATTTTGGCATTTTTTATCTTGGGCACACACTCTATAATATACAAATATATAAAACGTATAGGTACGTGCTCATTTATTTTTTTCACCCAATCATATATTCTCTATATCTCCATCTGTATACCTATATATATATATAGTTAACATGTAATATTACATGGATATCTACTGATATATATATAAAAATATTTATGTTACCTATTTTCCAATATTTATATAGCTATTAATGATGTCGTCGTTCCATATTTTCTCGATTAAAATCATTTTTATGATATGAAATATATAGATAAATAGTCCTATATATAGATAATATTTTTTTGAATGGGATATATATATATTAGAGGGGTTAGCTACATAGTTCTTGATGAGTATATGCATATATGGTAGGTATAAAATCATCTCAAATATATCTATTAAGGTATATATATTCATATGGTATAGATATTAGAATAACCCTACCTTTTATCCAAGGTTGAATAAACATCGTTTTTGTTAACATAGTGATTAAAGTTCTAGGCGATGCTGGGTTGAACTTAATCATCCACTGTATAAATATAGAGACAAGATCCACAACAATCGGCTAAACTTTATATTTACTTCTCACCTCAGTCTGTATATACACGTGCGCGTCTAATAGATTCTATATCTATATATATTTATACAGAGAGGATGACTATGACTTGGCTGACGAGAAACGCCCCAAATAATATAAGTGCTTTTCTGCCGGACTGTTGCGCAACCCTGTAAAACAGCCGTTTTGTTCATCGTAGCAGATTTTGATGAACTATAGGTATAAACTGATGAAGACTTTGATGAAATATATTAAATACTCTCATATTCTACTTGGTTCTATGGATTCTGTTATCCACAAATTAAGTAATTATTATAGAATTAACTTGAACTCTTTATTTTAATTATTAATGACAATTCACATCCATCATAATCTGACATAATTCCCAAATGTTATATAATGAGGGTTCTGCCACAGTTCCTATGGATGGAGAGGGTTTCAAAAACACAGGCACATCTGAAAAGCATTCTTGCGAACGTAATAATTATTTATCGGAAACGGTGAGTTCAACAAGAAATAGTATTTTCGATTTCAAACTACGATTTTCTACCTACTGGAGCTTTCAAACGTACGACGCCTCTGAACTATACCATCACATGGGTTTTTTTACGATTAGTACTAATTTACAGTTGCAACTGATGTAAATTAGGCAGAGGAAACTATTTTCACCTCTCTTAATTTACGGTTGCAACTGTAATTAGGGCATGTTCAAAACAAAGTTACTCGCCTAATTTACAGTTGCAACTGTAAATTAGGCAGAAGAGACATATTATTATGTGTCTGAAAATGCTTCATATGGGGGCGCTAGAGCCCTGAAGCTAGAGAAATATTTTCTCAAAAAATCAACATGTCACGATGAACTCTAATAAAACAAAACTAAATGGAAATGTGGAATTTTAATTATCAAGTTCTAAATTGTTCATCATAGAAGCTCACGCGCTCAGAATGATTGTGAATTGTTTTCGGACACCAAAATGAAAAATGACACTTTTATCGAAAACGGTTCGTGTTATATAGCATTCTAACGTGTATTTGAAGAATTTATATTTTGGTAGATGAGATGAGAACATTTGCTCTCAGCATAAATAAACTTTTTTATTTTTTTAAATGTTATATATAGGTAATAAGCCAGATCTCTATGGGACACCCGGTATATATACTGGTGTGAAATTGTATATCTCTTCGAATGAGTATGATTTTTCATTAACGCTGATAACTAAAAGTGACAATGCACAAGAAATGATAGGTTACCTAAAATACCTACCTACCTAATTAACTCCATATACTTTATTTGGTGGGAAACGAATTCTTTATACTTTTTCTTATTTAGATGAACGTATATAGTGTAGTATAATCAAATCATGACAAAAATTCTTTCAATCAAGTTGTCCTGGCCCAGGTATTGTTTGAAAGATTGATTTCAAATCTTTTTGCATATCATATGTATATTATATTGGTAGGTCTTATATGAGTTGCATGATATTATATTCCATTATTGTGAAATGCATCAGAACAGATTGTTCTCTGGTGGTTGACTTAAAATCTAAGACTTGTGTATATGTATTCCAAGTAATTCATTTGTCTATAGTGCCATATTAATTTGAATAATACTGATTTTTTGTTTTAGACAAGACTTACTAAAATGGGATGGCTGGGGTTACAAAGACTCCCAATTCTTGATAAAACCGGGAGTGTCTGAAGTCCGATTCACCGGAAAAAGGTTTGGATTCTAGACAATATACAGGGTGTTTCATAATATATGCGCAGGATGTTATAGCTGGTGTGAAAATATGAAAAACGTTTTTACCGACGTATCCTCTGTGTTGAAATTTAAAAAATATTTTTTTTTCCACCAACTACCCTGAGAAATCACCATTTTTCGAGAATTTCCTCTAATAAGAAGTTCAAACCTAGATAAAATATATAATGATGAATTGATAATGGAAGTTTACCTAGGTAGAAAAAAACTGTCATAGTGTCACTGATATTATACAAATCTCATTACAGCTTAATGCTGAAGTTTTGAAGTATGAAAAATGTATGGAATAATCTGGATTATTATTAATATTCTAATGAAAATGTCACAGCACAAATTATACGTGAGCTGCCACTGTCGGTAAAGACACATTTTTTGACAAAACAATTTCAGCTATGGCGGTCGATACAATATGATGGACATGATCTACCACTTCAAATGATTGTTCAATATTGTATCATATATGTGCGATATCCATAAGGTTTAAATTATTAATAGGTACGACCTATTTTTTTTTCATTGTTTTCAGGTATCCCATAAGTGGTTTACGGTTGCCACACGTACTGGGATGGGCGAAAAACGTTCTGAATCTGGAGTTGATAAATGGACCTCACAACAAGTCTAGCGACACTCCGTCCGAAGATCACTATCCCAAACCCAAAATCGATCCGGACGTTTTAGAACAAATTGATAGTCTTGGGATACCATATTCAACTGAGGTATATATTATTTTGATCTTTTATATTTTTGAACTAGAAAGTTCAAGAAATTTCCATATTGAAAAATCTTTCCAAAAATTCGAGAACGTTCTAAAAAGTCTTGCGGAAGATATTATCCAATCATCTAGAGAATTCACAAGAATTTCCCGAGAATTTCCTACAATATGATATGTTATATAGAATCATCTAGATATATTATAATGTTCTAGAGAATGTTATTTATGCATGAGTAGTTGAAAAGGTTGGAGAATACCCTTGAATGTTCCAGTATTCCACAGGCTTTACAAAAATTTCCCCGGCTGTTTCAGAAAATTCAAAAATGTTCTAAATATATCATTACATTTTCCAGAAGGTTTCTAGAATGTTAGAAAAATTACCTTAACTATTCGGAACATTCTCTAAAATATTATAAATAATCTTCCACAAGATTTATTGAGAATGTTTTAAAGAAACGTGCAGAACTTAGAGAACTTTCTAGAATTCTTCAAGAGTTGTCTCTGATATAATTTCATAAGGATAGAACATGATTCAAAATGTTCTATAACATCCTAAAATGTTATAGGAATTTGAAGAATGTTCCAAAAATTATCTAGATTGTTCTAGAAATTGTTTCAAGGAAACATTCAGGGGTTCGAGAATATTCAAGAATGTAATAAATTGTTCGAGGGGTTTCTCTAATGTTTTATAGAGCATTTTCGAAGGTTGGAACATGATCCAGAATATTTTAGAACTTTTCATAATGTTCCAGTGAGATTTCATCCAAAAGAATCGTCCAAAAAGATCTAAAATGTTCTAGAATACTCTATAGAATGCTCTCATTTGTTCCAGAAATCTCTAAAATGTTCTAAGAATGCTCTAAAATGTTCTAAGAATACTCGAAAGTGTTCTAGAATGCTCAACAATGTTCGAGAATGATCTAAAATATTCAATAACGCTCTTAAACATTCTAGAATGCTCTGAAACGTTTTAGAATGTTCTAAAATGGTCAATATGAATTGTTCTGAACGCTTTAAATTATCCCAATGCTCTCTAGGACGTTTGCGATTATGTCGAGGTGTTCCAGAATGCTTCAAAATGTTCTAGAATGGTTTGAAATGTCCTAGAATGCTCTAAAAAATGTTATTGAATCTCCCAAAATGTACAAGCATTCTCGAAAATATTCTAGAATGCTTCAAAATGTTCTAGAATGCTTTAACAAAAAAAATTAATAGTCTAAGTAGGTACTCTCAATAATTGATCTAGAATGCTTTAAAATGTTCGTAAAAGTTCAAACTTTTTTAGAAATGTTCGATTATGTTCTAAAATGTTCTAGAAATGTTCTAGAATGTTCTAAAATGATCTAAAATGTTCTAGAAATATTCTAGAATGCTCTAAAATGTTCTAAGAATACTCGAAAGTGTTCTAGAATGCTCTAAAATGTTCGACAATGCTCTCATATGTTCGAGAATGCTCAACAATGTTCGAGAATGATCTAAAATATTCAATAACGCTCTTAAACATTCTAGAATGCTCTGAAACGTTTTAGAATTTTCTAAAATTGTCTATATGAATTGTTCTAGAACGCTTTAAATTATCCCAGAATGCTCTAGGACGTTTGCGATGATGTCGAGGTGTTCCAGAATGCTTCAAAATGTTCTAGAATGGTTTGAAATGTCCTAGAATGTTTCAAAAAATGTTATTATGAATCTCCCAAAATGTACAAGCATTCTCGAAAATATTCTAGAATGCTTCAAAATGTTCTAGAATGCTTCAACAAAAAAATTAATAGTATAAGTACTCTCAATAATTGATGTAGAATGTTTTAAAATGTTCTAAAAAGTTCAAATTTTTAGAAATGTTCGATTATGTTCTAGAAATGTTCTAAAATATTCTAGAATGTTCAAAAATGATCTAAAAAATGTTCTAAAATGGTCTAAAATGTTCTAGAATGTTCTAAAATGTTGTAGAAATATTCTAAAATGCTCTGAAATGTTTCCAAAACGCCCTAAAATGTTCTGCATCTTCCATTCAGGTCATCGACAGAGTGGTGCGCGCGCACGGCCAAGCCCTGCACGAGATCTACGCCGTGCGCTCCGCCACGTTGGAGCGCATCCCCGACGTCGTCTTGTGGCCCTGCTGTCACGAGGACGTCGTGCGCGTCGTGCGCATGGCCGATTCGCTCGATCTCGTGGTTGTGCCCTTCGGCGGCGGTACGGCCGTGTCGGGGGCCACCGAGTGTCCTCGGGGAGAGCGGAGGACTGTTTTGTCCTTGGACACGTCTCAGATGAACAGGTAACTATCCAGCAAGCACATGGTTGCATCACAGAGATATTGCATCGAATATTTGTTCTGCTTGGTGGAATATACAATTCGTTCGTCGAGCGAGTATTCACATCATGTTTATCACTGTTGCGAGCAAACAGTTGCTTGTTAACAAATCGAAATATAAGGAGGCAGGGCAGCGTTAATATCTTCAACCTTATGAAAAAAGGCTTGCAGGAATCCATTTTCTGAATGCCCATCATACTTCTTACAGCCTTTTTTTGAGCCAGAAAACTATCCTTCGCTGATGTAGATGACCCCCAGAAACATATACCATATCGGATACATCCATATCGCATTCTATGTCGCGAAGACGTCGTTGCGATGTCAGAGGAACGATATTTTGTCCCACTCAAGTTTCATCCATGTGACATCGCTGTGAAACCTTTTCTGCGACATAACAGCCATAACATTTCTGCAATGTGATTGCAATGTTATTTGTGATGGAAAAGCTATGTGCTTTTGCGATAAAACTACGATGTGATGCAAGATGACGTACACAAGTTTCCCCATGGTGTGATAATATTTTTCAATTTCGTTGCTGAAACGCGACATATTCTTATTACTCAAAAAATGAACGGAACAGAAAACCAACAATTTTCTCCTTGATGAGGAACACTCTCTATATACCTAATCCATCAGGCGTCTACCCCGGTTGCAACGAGGGATTACCAATGCCAAGGGTTGATACTCTCCCCTCGTAAGGGTACCTATTCGAAATGAATTGAATATAATTCGTTATAAAAATGGAATACTTATCATTGGGCGCTGGTTTCTTGTCTGGTTTCCTCTTCTGTGCAATTTTTTCGTCGAATAATACGACGTCGCTTCTTCGATCTAAAACATAGTTGGAATTAGATCTCGAGTTTTGAATATATTGAGAATTGAAATAATCAAAGTTACTATATGAGAAATCTTTTTCAATTTAGTTGCTGAAACGCGACATATTCTTCTATTACTCAAAAAATGACCGGAACAAAAAGCCAACAATTGTCTCCTTGATGAGGAACACTGCGTATATACCTAACCCATCAGGCGCCTACCCCGGTTGCAACGAGGGTTTACCGGTGCCAAGGGTTGATACTCTCCCCTCGTAAGGGTACCTGTCGTGTCTCCATCGAGACATAAAGGTGACCATCAAAAAATGTTGTATGATATATCGCCTTCCATAACAAATATTGGGAATGAATTGAATATAATTCGTTATAAGAATGGAATACTTATCAGTGGTCGCTGGTTTCTTGTCTGATTTCCTCTTCTGTGCAATTTTTTCGTCGAATGATGCCACGTCGCTTCTTCGATCTTAAACATAGTTCGTATTAGATCTCGAGTTTAAAATATATTGAGAATTGAAATAATCAAAGTTACAATATGAGATATCTTTTTCAATTTCGTTGCTGAAACGCGACATATTCTTCTATTACTCAAAATATGACCGGAACAAAATGCCAACAATTTTCTCCTTGATGAGGAACACTGTATATACCTAACCCATCAGGCGCCTACCCCGGTTGCAACGAGGGATTACCGATGCCAAGGGCTGATACTATCCCCTCGTAAGGGTACCGTCGTGTCTCCATCGAGACATAAAGGTGACCATTGAAAAATTTTATATGATATATCGCCTTCCATAATAAATATAAAATTTGGATACAAATATTCGAGATGAATTGAATATAATTCGTTATAAGAATGGAATACTTATCATTGGTCGCTGGTTTCTTGTCTGGTTTCCTCTTCTGTGCAATTTTTTCGTCGAATAATACGACGTCGCTTCTTTGATCTAAAACATAGTTGGAATTAGAGATCTCGAGTTTTAAATATATTGAGAATTGAAATAATCAAAGTTACTTTATGAGAAATCTTTTTCAATTTAGTTGCTGAAACGCGACATATTCTTCTATTACTCAAAAAATGACCGGAACAAAAAGCCAACAATTTTCTCCTTGATGAGGAACACTGTATATACCTAACCCATCAGGCGCCTACCCCGGTTGCAACGAGGGTTTACCGATGCCAAGGGCTGATACTATCCCCTCGTAAGGGTACCTGTCGTGTCTCCATCGAGACATAAAGGTGACCATCGAAAAATTTTGCATGATATATCGCCTTCCATAACAAATATTAAATTTGGAACAAAAATTCGAAATGAATCGAATATAATTCGTAATAAGAATGGAATATACTCATCATTGATCGCTGATTTCTTGTCTGGTTTCCTCTTCTGTGCAATTTTTCCGTCGAATAATAACACGTCGCTTATTCTTCGACCTAAAACATAGTTGATATTATTGTATCTCGAATTTGAAATATATTGATAATTGAGATAATAAAACTTATTATATATATATATATAAACTCCTTCAATTTCCGTTGCTGAAACGCGACATATTCTCCTATTATTCGAAAAATGAACGGAACAGATAGCTAACAATGTTCTCCTTAATGAGGAACACTGTATATACCAATGAATATGAAAAGAAACATCAAGATGAGATATGAAATAGGCATACATAAAGGAGGATAAAATTTCTTCTCTCATCATCATGAAATACTTTTTTTAACATTCCCAAGAAAAAATAATTGAATTATTATCGATACATTCATACAAGACCGAGTACAAAACAATAAGAAATTTGCGTTTACTTTCTTGAGAAATTCAACTTCGAGCAATGATCACGCTGATTTCTCTCCACCATATTCCTCAATTTCTGACGATTATTGAATAGTTAAAGTCGCAGCGTGACTATCATTGGGATGAGATTATTATACATGATATATACTGCTTGCCGGTAGCCATGGAATCAATGATATTTTCGGAAAATGATATTAGGTGACAAAGTAGATTGAAAATTTTATGGAAATCTAGTTATCGAAAAAACTAATGATATATTTTTTTCCTGACGAATAATTCGCTCTGAAAACTCTATAAAAGCTACCGGAGGAACACTCAAAGCCCACACGAGATTATCATCAGTGGCAAGCAGTGTATATCAATTCCGAAACTCTCAGAAAAGAATTTGAAAGAGATTCTCAAGTAGTATATCTTGCAAAAAATGAAGGGAATCGGCCAAAAGATATATAACATAACTTGGCAACCTTTGAGTGAAATATGAAATATAGGAAACAAAAAACAGTTGTGTAGCAATTTTGATAGTGCATTTGATATTACAATTGAAAACAGGGTGTCCCATAAAAAAAATCATCATCGGCCGATATCTTGGAATTTGCCCACCCTATAGATAGGAAAATAATTTCAGGTGATACTTCTCATGGAACCCTATAATTTTTGTATTTTAATTTCGTCTACATATCTGGTTTGTCTAATATTGAAGGAGAACACACAATTCTCTCACCCTGTATACTAAAAATGACCCTGTATATTTTATTTTCGTATATTCGTATTCGTTTGAAATAACCCTATCAAACCCGGTATCGTTGATTTCGTTTTAATTATACCTAACCGATTATGGAATAAAATACAGGGTGTTCGATTCCATAGGTTAAGGATAAGATTAGTTTTATACTAAACTTTCGCCTATTGACTAAAGACCTATTGATATTCAAAAATCGAAAGTTGATTTCATTTCCAGTAAAACCGAAAGATGTAAAAAAAACCTAATATGTGAGTAAGTGCCCTCTAGTGAGCATATTCCATGTCCTAAATTTCAGAAATATAGTTGGAAAACAAAGAAGAAATGGGGGTATACCATGAGTCTGTGTCACAGAGTATAGGTATAAATAATAAGGAAGCGATTTTTTTTTTCATCGTTATATGGAAATATAGCGATTCAAAATACCAGCCACGTGATAAATAACAAAATAACTCAATTATATTCATGCATATACAAAAACACTTACCATCTTGAAGAAATTCAACTTTCACACACTCGAATGAAAATACAAACACTTGCCGAATATGAATTCCAATTTTCCACTTTTAAATACTTCGAGTTCTTTTTATATTATCACTTGAATCGACCGTACACGATGAAATCTATAACGAGACTACTGTTTGATTTGATTCTATTCTAATGACTAATTAGTTACGTCACATTTTCAACCGATTAATTCCCGAACAAGTATGACTAATTCCGATATCGATAGTAGGTACGCAGGTATTATTATTTAGTTTGTGCAAATGAGAATTTCATAGACATATACAGTGTCACTGTAGAAAGATTACCTATATTACGTCGGAATGATGTTTATGTCATATTTTCTAATCAAAATAAAAAAAGTTTCGTCAAAAAAAGTTAACAGTCGATTTAATCATCAGGAATCATTCACGTGGGTCCCCAGTAACAAACTGTAGAATAATAGAATAATTCTTGTATAAAATTATGCCTCTGTTTCGATTCTGATAACAATATCATATAGAGTGAAATTATTAGCAAAAAACTAAGAAAAAAAAATGCAACTTCAACTCACTGTTTCTTTTTATACAGCGATATTTTATTGAGGCATATTCGGTCATATGTTGGTCGAAACAATCCGCCTTTAGCCTATGTCCCAATAGTTATTACTCATCCTGTATGTATTATTTGCATGGCGTATTGATCCATTTTATTGATTATAGTATAATAATTATTCTTATGATCAAGTAATTGATTGTAATTTTTGTCAAACAATCTGTTAAACTAGCAGAATAAATTGAGCACTTTGATTAATTTTTGAGAAATGAGGATTCCTTTTGAAGGTAGGTAATTTTTTCATACGACATATTATTTTTCTCGAATTTTTTTCTAAGATTTCAAATCGGTAATGATCCTTTTTTGAATTAACATTAAAGATCAGTATTCACAGATACATCTATTTCCTTCTCTTCCATACACAATTAATAATCATTCTTTTTTTTAGAATTCTGTGGCTGGACAAAGAAAACTTAGTTGTTTGCTGTGAGAGCGGCATAATAGGGCAGGACCTAGAAAGGGAATTGGGCAAATTGGGATACACGACTGGTCACGAGCCAGACAGCTACGAATTTTCTAGCCTGGGAGGATGGGTGGCTACCAGAGCATCCGGCAAGTAATGCACTATCTATATCTTTAGGAATCATATATTCTTTGTCTACGGCAATAACAGACTAAAATTTCAAGAATACATAATTTCGTAATCAAATTAACTACATTAGCTGTATCAAGTGGGAACCAGCCCCATATTTCAGTAGGCAAAATCCTACATGGTCCTTCGATCCGGATCATGTATGATTTTGCCTATAGAAAAATGTAGGTGGTTTCCACTTGAAACAGCTAGTGTAGTAATTTAATAACGAAATTATATATTTTTGATATTTTATTCTGATATTGAAGGTTGTTTATCAATTTCTCAATTGTATAACAAAATTCTGGACTTGGCAACAATTCTCGAATGGGGATCCAATAATTGGGTACAAGCATGCCTTTTCTCTAGAAAAGCCGATCTCACTGTGCCCGACATAAGCTTGTCAGGAGTAAACCATACCTTTGAAGACATCCATTTCGATGCTTGGTATTACTATAAGCAAAATCCTTTCTTGGGAAAATCAAGTGAGATCGATTGCTAAAAGTGCATCTCAAAAACTTGGTTTTCTGTTTCGGGCCAGGAGCTATTTCACTTCCAGTCAGCTGCTCATGATCTATAAGGCACAGATCCGACCTTTCCTGGACTACTGTTCCCATATTTGGAGAGCAGCACCCAAACATACCCTGAAAGTGTTGGATTCTGTCCAAAAAAGGACAATTCGTCTCGTGGGTGATGCCTCGCTCACACACTCACTCACTTCTCTGGAACACCATAGAAAAGTTGGCGAATTGGCTCTATTTTATACCATATTAACAATTGTTCCTCCCTTGGCAGTCCCCGCGAGATTAACCCGTCGAGTTGAGGCTTCGCACCCCTTCGTGGTCACTTTCTAAAGACTCGTTCATCCAAGGAACAGCGAAGCTCTGGAATACATTGCGAAGGGAGGTGTTCCCCGAGGCATATAACCTCCAGAGATTCAAGAAGAATAGCATTTCCTACCTTATTTTCCTTGGTTTTCACGATGTTCTCTGAACATTACAGAATACCCATTTTCGTGGGAACCAGAACATTCTATGCAATCAATCTATGCATATAAATGAAAACAGAGTGCAAGTGGTTCCCAAATGTAGATAATTGTGCTTGAATTATTGAAGTCAGGCACCACCTATCAGAGCGATTAGGGGCTATCGACTGTAATCAGTGCAGGGCAAAATGTTTGATAAATTAAACAACAATAGTGAACTGTTTCTAGGAAAACAAATCTACGCATTCACCATTTCGGATTCTGCTTCATTCGTTGGGTCGCATTTACCGATTCCAGACAGATATCCCAGCAGATGGTTAGACGGTCCCTGACTTCAATTCAAGCGAGGACTGCAAAGCGGTCCCTGACTCCAATTCAAGCGAGGAATACAGGTGGTCAGGTGGTCCCTGACCTCAATTCAAGCACAACATATTCATGGATGTTTTCGCTTGCAGGCATGAAGAAGAACGTGTACGGCAACACAGAAGACCTACTGTAGCACGTGCCTAGATGTAAACAATTGTGCTAGGATTAAAGTCAGGCAAAATATTTAATTGATTATGAGCAACAATCCCCCATATCTACGCAATCTCAATGCCGGACAGTGCTTTATTTGTTGAGTCGCGTATATCCGCTTCAATCGGAGATCTCCGGATCGCTCTTCGGCAACGATTAGCCCCGATAGCAGGTCTGCAGGTGGTTAGGCGGTCTTTGACCTCAATTCAAGCACAACACATATTTACTGATATTTTCCGCTTTTGGGCATGAAGAAGAACGTGTTCATTAACATCGAGGGCCTATTACTGCACGCGCCTCAATTTAAACGATTGTGTTAGAATCACCTAGCAGACAGGTATCGAGATATCGACCGTCATCAGTGCATGGCAAAATATTTGATAGATTATGAGCAACAATAGTAGATCGCTTCTTGGACCCCAGATCTACGCAATTTTAATGCCGGACTGTGTTTTATCCGTTAAGTCGCGTGTATGCCCCGATAGCAGATCCGCAAGTGGTTAGACGCTTCCTGACTTCAAAGCGAGAAATATCTGCAGGTGGTTAGGCGGTCTCTGACCTCAATTCAAGCACAACACATATTTACGGATATTTTCCGCTTTTGGGCATGAAGAAGAACGTGTTCATTAACATCGAGGGCCTATTACTGCACGCGCCTCAATTTAAACAATTGTGTTAGAATCACCTAGCAGACAGGTATCGAGATATCGACCGTCATCAGTGCATGGCAAAATATTTGATAGATTATGAGCAACAATAGTAGATTGCTTCTTGGACCCCAGATCTACGCAATTTTAATGCCCTGATAGCAGATCCGCAAGTGGTTAGACGCTTCCTGACTTCAAAGCGAGAAATATTCGCAGGTGGTTAGGCGGTCCCTGACCTCAATTCGAGCACGACACATATTTACGGATATTTTCCGCTTTTAGGCATGAAGAAGAACGTGTACGGCAACATCGAGGACCTGTTGGTGCACGTGCGCATGGTAACGGCCAGAGGGGTGCTGGAGAGGCGGGGCCAGGTGCCGCGCATGTCCTGCGGCCCTGATTTCCATCACCTGGTGCTCGGCTCCGAGGGATCGCTGGGAGTGATCACCGAGGTGGCGTTGAAAGTGCGGCCGGTGCCCCAGTGCAAGAAGTACGGCTCGGTGGTGTTTCCCGACTTCGAGTCGGGAGTCAGGTACCTATATACGTATTAGCGTCATTGCAATTTTTTTGACATTATATCTTTTGAACGCTAACAACCTTCCTAGATATACTGTCTGTAGGTTAATCGAGGAGGTGGTACATTCATTGTTCCAGATTTTTTGGGATTTTCTCTCCTCGTTTCTATGAAATAATAGCTATTTATATATCAAGGGAGGAAAGGCATCCTTGCTCCCATGATATATACAGGGTGTCCGCTAAAAGGAGGTCAATCCATCAACCACATATTCCTTGAACAAAAACAATATGAGTTTCTAAATATCATTTTTCATTTTAGCCCTTCATATTCGGTATACAGGGTGTCAAAGTTGGAAATTAAAAACTGTTTTTTTCTAATTACTCGCGTATTTGATAAGATATTAATCTCAAAATTGGTACATTACTTCAGCACAAAGAGTTACATCGTGTGAGGAAAACAAAACCGAAAATAACTGTCAAATATTCAAAATACTGGGGGTCAAGTACACACTTACCCCCATATTTTTTTTGTACGTGCGCTAATGACTTCCTATCTATTTACCTTCAAGTGTTCAATCATTTTTGAGTATTTTTTGTTTCTTGTAGAATTTCGATTAAATCATTTGTTTTTAAGATAATTCGAAAAGTACTGGTTATTGTTTGATGCCTATGCGGCTTACGGTAATATCATAATGTTCACGTACTCCTATTTATTTCGTCGACATTGGAAGAGGGCGTATCTTTTTACGTACGAAAAGGTAAATATGGAAATACCGGGTGCTCGGAGCAAATGTACTAAAATAATTTTTACAAAAAAAAAATACATTCGCTCTAAGCACCTGGTATTTCCATATTTACCTTTCCGTACGTAATAAGATACGCCCTCTTCCAATTTCGACGAAATAAATAACATTATGAGATTACCGTAAACCGCGAGGCATCAAACAATAATCAGTACTTTTCGAATTATCTTAAAAACAAATGATTTAATCGAAATTCTACAAGAAACAAAAAATACTCAAAAATGATTGAACACTTGAAGGTAAATAGATAGGAAGTCATTAGCGCACGTACAAAAAAAATATGGGGGTAAGTGTGAACTTGACCCCCAGTATCTTGAATATTTGACAGTTATTTTCGGTTTTGTTTTCCTCACACGATGTAACTCTTTGTGCTGAAGTAATGTACCAATTTTGAGATTAATATCTTATCAAATACGCGAGTTATTAGAAAAAAACAGTTTTTAATTTCCAACTTTGACACCCTGTATATCGAATATGAAGGGCTCAAATGAAAAATGGTATTCAGAAACTCATATTGTTTTTGTTCAAGGAATATGTGGTTAATGGATTGACCTCCTTTAGCGGACACCCTGTATATATGATTTTATCAACGAACGCATTTTTCAAAGCACCCTTCTTTGTGTGTTGTGCTTCAGGCGGTCTATCATTCGATCCATCATTATGCATTACAAAGGTATAGTATGCCATGGACAGTTGACGGCATTTGAACAGTCAATTTGACACTTATGTCATCATGACTCAATTGATTGGTATATATTGTGTAACTGCATTTGAATGTTTTGATAAGAAGTACGTTCGGGATATGAAAAAGCATATGATATCATTAGAATTCAAAAAGGATATTATTGATATTTGTTTTATAATAGTGATAAAGGCACTGATTACTTTGATTGCACAGATTTTGTAGGTATATTGACGTCAAAGGATGCATGCTGAAGCCAATTTGTTTTTACCTCCCACGGGAGTTAATATTTTTTTCCTCCCGTGGGAGTAAATTGATAACTTTGTTTCCTCAAAATAGGCAGCAAACGCCTACTTTCGATTCAGTGAGTAGATAAAAATATGAATATCATTTCAATATACGTGTAGTAAGGACAAATCAGATGATTTGCCCCAAAATGTCACTGCGTTTGAAGAATTTTCCTACCAGAGAGCCTAAAAGAAAAATTCACTAGCTTGTCAGTGACAATGCGTATTGAAAAAGGTTTGGAGAAGAGAAATAAAGGTATATAGAAATAATATCAAATTATTTTCACTCACCTTTGGACGTTTCGAGATCGAATCTGCTCCCGTTTTCAACATGAAAAATGTTTTTTGTATCGCAAATTCGTATTTGTCCTGACACTTTTCAGTTCTCAGTAACAATTGGTGACGTTGGCATTCAAATGAGTTGTTACTCTACATTACTACCGTCGAGCTACCTGCCGATATTTATATCTGATTTAAGATGTTTTCAAGAATTTCTTCCATAACCTTGCAAGGTATTATTTGCCCGGGCAATGCAGCCTTTCCGAAAACAGCGAGCGAGTCAGTCTATCCAGGAAAATGTATTTTCGTAATAATATGTTTGTTTCCTTTCGCCTATATAGGTTTGTTGTTGATTGAGTATAATTATGTGGCCAAATTCCGGGGGGGGGGGGGGGGGGGATATTTTGAGACAAAAAGTTCGTGGTCGCAGGTCCGGGAATTCATAGGTAGGTCTCTGAAGATTACTCACATACCAACTTGCAAAGAGAATAGTATGTTCAATTATCGAAGTTCATCTTTATACCTTGGTCTGAATAGGGAATGACTTTGTTTTTTTTCTGTTTCTGTTCTTTTGATCGTTTTTTGTTATAGGTACATGAGAGAGGTAGCGAAGAAACGATGGCAACCTGCTTCCATAAGGCTCATGGACAATGAACAATTCAAATTTGGAATGATCCTTAAGCCAGAAGCAAGTTATTTAGAATCGGTTATGGACAAACTCAAAAAAGTAAGTAAGCAAGCAGTTTTGATTTTTGACTCAAAGTTTATACTCGTTATGTCAATTATGTTGGCGACATTCCTGCCATTTTTGATGCCAATAAGAAGTGCAGAAGTAATGACTAACATAAAATATATTGGTAAAATTTGTCAAAGCATAGACAAAAGATTCAAAGAACATATTACTCACCTCAGTGTTGGCCAAGATATTACTTATAATGATTTAAGACCCATCATACATATATCGAAGACTGGAACCTTTGGCACGATAATACACTACACTGTTTTACCACTAACCAAACCGATTTTTTAACGCCTGACACGTGTTTCGCAAACTATGTTAGCATCTTCAGGAGAAGATTAAAACTAGTTTTAATCTTCTCCTGAAGATGCTAACATAGTTAGCGAAACACGTGTCAGGCGTTAAAAAATCGGTTTGGTTAGTGGTAAAACAGTGTAGTCCATCATACATGTTACAAACAATAAGGAATTGTGGAAAATTTCGATAGTATCTCCATTTTCAATAAATCTTGTTAGGGATAATAAATATTTATAGGACCTACCCCTAGCTCCAAAATGTTCGTTCAAGCAAAACCGTTTTCTGAACCGTGAAACAATTAGGTAAAAACTTTGTACGATATCCTGATGGTTAATTATGTATCAAGGGCATAAAATGGGCTTTTATGGACCGCAGCGTCCATAAAAGTATGTTACGCCCGAAATACATACCTACATTTCATGCACAACCGGTTCATACTTTTATTCACTGGCAACCAGAAATTATTGAAAAAACAGTGAAATTACTTTACCCCGGCCATTCATACCTACTTAACCGACCACCGGACTTTACTGACCACAACTGTACCCGCGCTAAAGTGCTACTTACGCGTGCATAAAAAGATATCATAGCGTAAGCTAATATTCATTTTGTTTTCATCAGTTTTAATGGCAACTTTTAGTTGCCGAAATACGTCTTCAAATTTTTTTAAGTGATAGTTTCTATATAGGCCCGTATAGGAAGGTAAATTCTGGGATGGGAGTAAAACGGTAAATTCGCGTTACGGATGCCGCGTACCATAAAACCGGCATAATCATAAGTGTATACCATAAAAGATTACTTCCGACGTGTGGTCCTAGGCACACTAGTTCTTCAAACATGTCATTTTGGTTATATTCCGAATTTATCTGACAGTACTGAATCTGCTGATTTTTCATTCCGAAATCAAAAAATTCACATATGAGCAGACATACTATTCATTCCAAATATTTCGACTCAACATTCTGCTGAAATTGCTGACTAACAAAAGGTAGTGTGGCTTCAGTATACTGTCATTCTTCTAGACGGGGAAGGAATGTCACATTTATTTTCGTTGTTTAATGAATAATACATTAATAATATCACTTTGAAAATCAGAAAATGTCTGTTTTACAATCCAAAAATGATATCGAGTTGTTGGAAACAAGGCATAGAAAAAATACCAGCAACTATACATCTCTCGATACCAGTCCTTATTCATCTCATACTAATATGACAATAGTTTCTTGAATCTATAAGTATTCTGGTCGCAACATATCAAAACTGAGTCTATTAAAATTTATTTGCGGTTATAATGGTCAACTGAGGGCTATTAGAAACCCTTGCTTTATACCTACTCGTTACAGGAGGGTTGTAAACTATTATTTCGGTTTGGCTCTCGATTTCGATGGACTGTGAAATATACTGGGCGATGTAATTTTAACCACCCTAGGATTGATTCGATATGCTAATGAATGATAAAAACCTATTCATAGTAGCTTTCTTACACTATTCATAAGTGACTCCACCTTTTTTGTATTGGTATTGGTAGGTTGGATGGTGACAGATGCGCTGCGACCTAATTAGATCTATTGTGCCCCATCTGCTTCTGCTATATCAAGGATTTCTTGTTCATATAGCAGCCTCTCGAGATTCAATTCCTTCAGGAATTTGAGGATTTTGAGGGGGTCTAGCTGTGGTATTTCTTCCAGTCAGCTGGTGTGTTCCCACCCAGCGAGCACAAACATCCCTGGGATGTTTTGGGATGTTTTAAAAATGTTGGCATGAAGATGTTATTTTGAGACGTAATATGCACTGACCAAAGAGGTCTTTGAAGGATATTGAAGTATTGTTTTTGTTCTTTTGTGGCATTCCTTTGTTTGCCTACTGAGAAGTATCCCTGGGATGTTTTGGGATGTTTTAGAAATGTCGTAGGCATGAGGATGTTTTTTTGAGGCGTAATATGCACTTCCCAAAGAGGTCTTAGAAGGATATTGAAAGTATTGTTTTTGTTCTCTTGTGCCCTTTCTTTGTTTGCCCCACCACAACGTCTCATGCTTACGTCACAATACGATGAATTCTGATTTGTTTTCGATTTTGTTCTTCTTGTTCGCAATTGGCATTCGCGTTTGCAGCGTGTCACGCTTACATCACGCTGCTAACGAACAGAAAGGAATTCGGTGACGTTTATCGCCCAGATAACACAGGATATCCTATGGATATCCTTCTCAAGTCCATTTCAGGTCGGGATATCCTGGGACATGAAATGGATATCCATAGGATATCCGTCAGAGGATATCAAATGGATATTCTGATGCGGATCACCTATGGACGTCCATAAGATGTTCGTTTAGCGAACAAAAATTGTTAATTGAGAATGGTTCAAAACAATACGAATCATCACAAATATCACATGCAAATCACATGTTTATTAGAAATTCAAAGGTATTTTTCCATCATATAACTATTGTTATGTAGGTATAATATGTTTATAGCCACAATTAAGATATCCGATGCAAATATGAATTCATATAATAAATAACAACACCACAGTTTGGAATTTTTCTCTGTTGTTCAATGTTTTCGTACAAAAATATACAATCACTCGAAAATAGCTCTCATATATTTACTTTTTTGTGGTCTTCAGATGGACATCCATGAGATATTCATCCATGGATTTATAGCGGATATCCATCAGAAGATATCTTATGGATAGCCATAAGATATCCAAAGAAAACATAAAATCATATTTATGTCAAAATAACTTTTGTTCTTCAACATTTTCGCACAAAAATATGATTTTTCAGAAATAACTTGTATCTCCATTTTTTTCCTTGGGATTGAGATGGAGATCCATAAGAAGATATATTCGCATCCCTGAATTCAAAACTGGGTAGGTATTTTCCCAATGGATAGTAATAAAATATTCTGAAGCAATAAAATATAAATCAATATGGTATTCGCGTGAATGACAAATTTTCCAAAAGAAAGATGGAAAAATCTAAGTGAATCTAATTCTTGAATTCACCTTAACAGCATTTCGGAAAATAGCTTCATTGTTGCGCTAGGGATAACGCGATTCAAATCCGGCCACCTCGCCTCCTCTATTTATCTCTCAAAAGATTGAATTCAATTCGAATTAACCTCCATGGCTAGAATCGTTCTGATTGGTCTAAAAATGCATCCATGTCGAAAGTCATGGTAAATTGAATTCTTTCATGAGGTATGAGCTAAAGCTTAAGGTGGTTCACTCCTATAACTTTTTCATTATTGTAGGTAGTAAAACGTCAATTGGGGTCATGAATTATAGTTCATTTTATAGTATTCGACATATCTACTTGCTTTACCGCACTTTTGGTTTAACCGAGGATGGCATTTTCAAACGGGACACCCTGTATTTTATTCCATAATCGGTTAAGGATTATCATAACGAATTCAACGATACTGTGTTTGATAGGATTTCTACAAACGATTAGAAAGATATTCACATTTCCATATCCTCAATGAGACAATGAGCATATGAAAACTTCGAATGCCATATCTTCGTAATCGTTTGAAATAACCCTATCCAATCCGGTACCGTTGAATTCGTTATAATAGTTCCTAATTCATTATGGAATAATATACATGGTCTTCTATATTGTTAAGGATATTTAGTAAATATCCCTGAAAAATATCTCATGGATATTTGTGAACACTATCTTATGGATATCCCTGAGAAATGTCTTATGGATATTTGTGAACAATATCTTATGGATATCCCTGAAAAATGTCTCATGGATGTTCCTGAAGGATATCCTATAGAAGTCCAACTCCTTCCACTCGGCACGTCCATTGGACGTCCATAAGATATACATCGGATATCACTGGATATTCTCTGGATATCCCAAATATCCTAAATGGACGTCCAATGGATGTCCATCGAATGTCCGTGTGTTGACTGGGTTGTGTTAGCAGACTTATTTATAGTTTGTAATGATGACCATCAGATGCAAGATGTGTTGTTCGGTGCCTCAGTATAATCAATATATAAAAGTTCGAATTCATCAATACACAGCTTCTCCGCAGTTGCAAAATCATGCATTGTGGAGAACATTTCAAAAATTGGGAAACCTATTTCCGATTATATGTCTGTGTGTAGTAAGCACTACTCAGAAACCGATTAAGAAGGTAATTTCATATCAAGAAAATATTTTTATGTTCAATCTATTTTTAATGCATTTTTTCATTCAAGGGAAATGGAATCCTAATGCGAAAGTTCATTTTGACAAAAGGCTCCAGAAAAGTACCTCGAAAATGGTTTTTTTACAGCGATTTAATGTGCGCAAGACGCGTTGAAAATGTTCTGTTGTGTCCATGAAAAGGCTTTAAAAAGAACTAGGGAGAAGGTAGTTTTGTGACATATCAAGGACATCTCGATAATTGCCGCCTGCGGCGGACATTGGCTGTTCTATAATAGTTCTATTCATGTGTGAACAGAACATCGCAGTGGAGGTTCAATGTCTCGAAATCTCGTACTTTTAACATCTCTGAGATGTTTTTGTGCTCGCTGGGCAGTATGTTCAATCTTTTGTGATGTACAGCGTCACACTCCATCAGTATGTGATGAGGTGTTTCTGGTTCTTCCTCACAGAATCTGCAGGTGCCGTCCGGCTGTAAGCCTAGCTTCCTTATAGGTATTCTTTGAGTCTGCAATGCCCCGTTAGAAATCCCGTTATTGCTTTGAGACTTCCTTTGCTGAGGTTTGTCAGTGTCTTAGATCTTTCTCGGTTGAAATTTCCAAGGGGATATTTAGCCTGCCGTAGTCCTGGAAGTCTTCTCCATTGTCTGGCTCTCCAGGGCTCCTTCCGCCTTCTCAAGTTCTCCTTGGAAATAGGAATTTCCAAGGCCGCAGAATGGCTCTGGTCAGATCAGTGGCGTTGAAGCTCCTTGTCGTGCCAGAGTGTCTGCTTGTTCATTCCCCTCCACTCCAATATGCCCTAGCGATGGACTGTGAAATATACTGGGCGATGTAATTTTAACCAGCTTAGGATTGATTCGATATTCTGATGGATGATGAAAACCTATTCATATAGTAGCTTTCTTACACTATTCATAAGTGACTCCACCTTGCTGATAAATGATAAAGTTCACCAGCTGATCAATTTTGATGCGATTACTGATGAAAACCATGAGAACATGTTCTGAATTACAGCACTGTATTTTATTTATATTTCGGATAACAGATTTTCAGAGAGGTTAGTGGATTTACTGACAGTACTGACCAGTTTAATTCGGTATATAGGTAGCCTTCATGTATACAGGCTGATTCACGGGGTGGATGGCACATTAGACGTTTCTGGTGAACCAGACAACGGATCATTTTGAAAATTCAATGGAGGGCATATTCGGACATTCTCTAGCCAACTAAAATATTTTCGACAATGCGGTGTTGCCGCTGCTATTAGAAAGCAGTAGCAACTTTGATTTTTCAAATGGAACACTGTATTTTATTGCATTTTTAGATTCTCCCTGAAGAGCAGATTTCATCGATGTATCTCACTTGGGGTCTAGCGGAAATGATTACAGAGATATAGGGTGTGAAAAATCGACATTCTTCAACTTTAGGAATTTTTTTTGTCGAAACTATTCATTATTGGTCGAAACGGCTCACATGTCCCTATCTCAACTTTTGATTAACTATCTACATAACATTTAATTGAAACAAATACAGGGTGGTGCAGAATTCAGAATCTTGATCACCCGGTATATGTCCCAATGGGGGACCACTGATTTTTTAAAATGACATTATGGTGAACTCTATACTGAAAAACTACCAGCGAATTAATTTTGAATTTTGTCATTCATGCTAAGACGATGGAAAAAATAAATTAGAATATGTCCATTTCAAAACACACAATTCCTGCGCCATTTGAAATTTTGTCAATTCATTGGTGTGACTGGTGCGACGTCTTATTCCCAACACGCCTATTGTCCTTGAACTGACTAATCACACTTAAACACTGCAGAATGACGAGGTATCAGAGAGAGATAGCTACAGTTCGGGACTAATACGTCACGACTCCACCATCATATTATGGCTGTTTGAAATATCGAATGAAATATGCTGATTTCAAAACGATATAGATTCGATTCCCTTCAACTTCAACTCATAATATTGATTGTACATCAAACGTAAATCATGTTTCGTCGATTGAAAGAGGTTTGAACGGATTTCTTCTCTCAGTGGTCTTCCCCATTAAATGTCAGTAGATAGTTAATCAAAAGTTGAGACAGGGACATGTAAGCCGTTTTGACCAATGATGAATAGTTTCGACAAAAAAATTCCTAAAGTTGAAGAATGTCGATTTTTCACACCCTATATCTCTGTAATCATTTCCGCTAGACCCCAATTGTGATACATCGATGAAATCAGCTCTTCGGGGAGAATCTAAAAATGCAATAAAATACAGAATGTTCCATTTGAGAAATCAAAGTTGCTACTGCTTTCTAATAGAAGCGGCAACACCGCATTGTCGAAAATATTTTAGTTGGCTAGAGAATGTCCGAATATGCCCTCCATTGAATTTTCAAAATGATCCGTTGTCTGGTTCACCAGAAACGTCTAATGTGCCATCCACCGTGAATCAGCCTGTATGTTTGCATTTTTTGATTAATTTCGTTCTAATGCTAATGGATCATTTTGTGGCCAGCTGTATATCACGAAAGTGAAAGGTTTCGATGAAGACAGCATGTGCGTGATGACGCTGCTGTTCGAGGGCGACAAAAGCGACGTGGACATCCAGGAGAAACGGCTGTACGCCATGGCGCAGGAGCACGGAGGGATGCCGGCGGGGGAGACGAACGGCGAGCGGGGGTACATGTTGACTTTCGTCATCGCCTACATTAGGGTGAGTAAAGTGAAGCTAACCGTTTCCATCGGTGGCTATACAGGGTGATCCACGGTGGATGGCCTATTAGAAAAGACAGAACATTCTGAAAATTGGGATGCTTTGATAATTGAACATTCTCTATCCGTCTAAAATATTTTCATCCATACAGTGTGTCGCCACTTCGATCAGAAACAACTAGCAACTTTGTTATTTCAAATGGAACACCCTGTATTTTATTGTATTTTAAGATTCTTCCTGAAGAGCTGATTTCATCAATGCATCACACTTGGGGTCTATCAGGAATGATTACAGAGATATAGGGTGTTCAAAATCGAGATTTTTCAATTTTAGGATTCTATTGTGTCCAAACTATTCATTATCGATCATCTACATGTTCCTATCTCAACTTTTGATTCACTATCTACTGGAATTTAGTTGAAAACATACAGGGTGCTTCTAGATTTAGAATTCTGATCACCCTTTCTCTGCTCCAATTAAATGTCAGTAAATCGTTAATCAAAAGTTAAGAATGGGACATGTAAGCCGTTTTGATCGATAATGAATCACAAAAAAATCGTCGAATTGAAAAATTTCGATTTTGAACACCCTATATCTCTGTAATCATTCCTGCTAGACCCCAAGTGTGATGCATTGATGAAATCAGCTGTCAAGGAAGAATCTAAAAATGCAATTACATACAGGGTGCTCTATTGAAAATAACGAAGTTGCTAGTTGTTTCTCATAGAAGTGGCAACACTGTATCGATGAAAATATTTTAGATGGATAGAGAATGTTCAATAATCAAAGCATCCCAATTTTCAGAATGTTCTGTATTTTCGTTCTCCATATACTTCTATAATAGGCCATCCACCGCCGTGGATCACCCTGTATATGAATTCCGATATACAGGGTGGTTCAGGCCGGTTAAACGTCATTAAAAGTAACTTTTCCGCATGATTTTTCGTTTTTAAAGTTGTACTTTTCCGAACGATTTTACTTTTCCGCATTATTTTTACTTTTCTGCACGATTTCGAAGGAAATACCAGGAGACATGTGGTGATAACTGTTGGCACCAAAACGTACCCATAGCAACAGTCGCAATAAACTGACAGTTGTGGCAGTCAACAAATGAGCATTTCAAGCGTCATTTTTCCGTGTACGTAATTCCAATCAAAAATTGACAACTCAGGAAACTTCCAAGATCTCCCCCCGGAAATAATTGATGCAAACACTAACCAATCAAATTCAAATAAGAAACGACGTTCTTCAAGATGTTGCGGCATCTGCTATATTACAGCAAACAACAAACACAAATTGCACTTTCATTATCAATATTTACCATCGTTAATGTTTAAGATAATGTTATTCAAATGTTCTTCAAATAAGTTTCCTATTATATTGATGAAAAAAATATCTATTTCATCATTTTTCAGTGCATGAAAATATCGTGCGTATAGGTTACTTTACCGCACTAGTGCTGAAAAGTTACTTTTCCGCATGATTTTTGTATTGTTGAAAATAAGGATATTTAGGACTAACTAAATGATCCATGTAACTATTCTATGATATTCTGTACTATGTGTCATTTTGTAGCATCATTATAAAATATTGTTCATCAAAAACCTTTTTTTTTTCATAAATAATATGGAAAAGAACACTCGTAGGAAAAACTGTGTACCTAACTCTTGCGGCAAATGTTATTCCCGCCCTTGACGACTTGACCAAACTTCGATCCGCGTCGTTCGTGCAACTGCCGTCGCGTGCGGAAATGTGCTACTTTCCGCACTTGTTAGGTAAATAACTATTTTCTACGGCTATAACACAATATTGCTAGTGTTTCACTGTGTTCGATACATCAATAAGGTACTTTGTATAACAGAAATTTTATTTCCGTATCTGATATCACAATGACTCCATTGTGTTATTATTTCAAAAAAAAATTCTCGCTCATGGAGTGTCAAGTTTCAAGAAATGACATATCTGTCATAGATGAGCATTACCTACCGGACAGGAAATCAGATTGCTACAAGACGAAGAAATCAAAAATGCCGCTGTTATCTGTTACAGCCGTAGAAAAATGATAGTGTATAACTTGCACGGAATGCTAATTTCCCACTCGAATGATTGCTGCATTCGCCTCTGGCTAATGCTGCAAACTTCATTCTCGTGGGAAATCACTATCATTCCGTGCGCGTTAAACAATATACTATTTTGCTACTGTTACGAGAGAAAGAAAGTTACCGCGCGATGCGGAGCGGAGCGCGGTAATCTTTGGAGAGCGGCAATAACACTTTGTGCTCAAAATACACACAAGATTTTTTCTACTAACGCAGCTTTTGTAAATAACTACCCTGAAAGTATGAGCGATTGAAATAGTTGAGAAAGTTCTAATCCATATTATCCCATATGTCCAAAAGAAACAAAAAAAAAAAATTGAAATAACTGACAAGCCAGAAAAAAAATTTCGGGCCTACCGAGAATTGAAACTGGACCACCAGCGTGGCAACCTGAGCTTCAGACTCTGAGCCATAGTACGATAAACTCTGCAATCAAATTGAACATTACTCATTGATGCAATAAAATAAAGATACACTGTCTTCCTGATGACAACAAAGAGTTTAAATATAAAGTATAATTCATCGTTTTCAACAGATATGCTTCATCGGGAGCTTCTTGTAGAAATGTTTTGGATTTTTCTCGCTTTATATCCAATAGATTGTTTCTTGAGAAATGCGATAAGTTTCAGATACTTATTGATTCCGATATTATCTTTAACATTCAAGCATGTATACGTACCATCGAATATATAGACCAATGAGTTGATGACTTCAAAGTCTTTGATTTTTTACCAAAATAAGCCAGTAAAACGTTTTTCTGAATACATATTCACCATCTCGGAGTGGCACCAATTTATGAATGTATCATATTGTAATTCATATTTCTTCCTTGATTTCTCCGGTAAGAGATTCAAACTCTTGCGCTTTCTGCTATATCATCAGGAAGGAGGTGTGTTTGATGATTCACTGTCATTATTTTCCATCATGAGAGAATTGGGGGTTTTCAAGAATAGATAAGTATAGGTTACAGAGATAAGCGAGCGTTTTTTCAATATTTCCGCTCACGAGCGCAAATGCTGTCAAAGAATGACATTTCTGGGAAAACGTCAACTTTGTGCTGGAATTTGAAAGCGTCAAAGGCTACTTTGTTAAGCGTTTGTAGAAAAATTATATTTCTGTTTTAGGACCAATTTTATATTTATTATATATTCAAAATATCACGAAAATTGATACAGAATGTAATTACACTATTTATGCAGACGATACGGTACTTGTAGAAATTTGTTGGTATATATCTTCAGCGGTGAATGTTTTGGATTTTTCTCGCTTTATATCCAATAGATTGTTTCTTGAGAAATGCGATAAGTTTCAGATACTTATTGATTCCGATATTATCTTTAACATTCAAGCATGTATACGTACCATCGAATATATAGACTTCAAAATATTTGATTTTTTACCAAAATTAGCCAGTAAAACGTTTTATGAATACATATTCACCATCTCGGAGTGGCACCAATTTATGAATGTATGTATATATTGTAATTCATATTTCTTGCTTGATTTCTCCGGTAAGAGATTCAAACTCTTGCGCTTTCTGCTATATCATCAGGAAGGAGGTGTGTTTGATGATTCACTGTCACTATTTTCCATCATGAAAGAATTGGGGGTTTTCAAGAATAGATAAGTATAGGTTACAGAGATAAGCGAGCGTTTTTTTAATAGTTCCGCTCACGAGCGCAAATGTTGTCAAAGAATGACATTTCTGGGAAAACGTCAACTTTGTGCTGGAATTTGAAAGCGTCAAAGGCTACTTTGTTAAGCGTTTTGTAGAAAAAGTTGTTTTTTTTATTATTTCTCTAGGATCTAGCCCTACAGTACGACGTCGTTGCCGAATCGTTCGAGACGTCAGTTCCGTGGGACAGAGCGATAAATCTAGTCAGGAACGTGAAGAGGGTGATCGGCGAAGAATGCCGCTTGGCCGGCATCACTCACCACATCATCAACTGCCGAGTGACTCAAACGTACGACGCTGGATGCGTCATCTACTTCTATCTCGGATTCAACCATGCGGCCCTAGGCGATCCAGTGGACATCCACAATAGGTAAACAGCATGTACAGGGTGGGCTAAATTGGGCACTTTCAAAGGAAAAGTCCTATTTCCGTACAAGATGGAAAAAAAATGATGTCGGTGCCAGTTGATCAATTCACATGACATGATATCTATCTTTATTTCAGAGTTACAAGGTGGAACATATGTTCTGCTACACTTGATTTATCTAATCTCCCATATTTCAAATGTACAAGATGTTCTTTGAACCTTGCAATTATTAAACTTCTAGTTTGGCCCATGTATGTTTCCCATAATCATTTTATAGAACTCATTTCGTATGCATTGCTGATTTTTTTAGTGTTTATTTTTCGTCCATTGTATTGATAGGCTAAGGAGGAATTTACGAATTTGGTTGTCATCATCTTGGGGAACATGAATAGGCCAAACTAGGCGACACATAAAAGCAAGGTTCAAAGAACAGCTTGTACATGTAAAAATTGGAAGATCCCATAATATATCAAGTAAATGGCCATAACGTGACTTAAGTCATCAAAAACCATAAAATGATCAATCAAGTTCAAAAAATTAGATGCACTCGAGAGCATAGAACTAGTTGAAAATAGTAATAGTTATAAATAGGGATAAAGAACCTATTTCATCAGAATTTTAGGATGACATTCAGTTTCAATCTACTCCTGAAGATGTTAACAAAGATAGCGAAACACGTGCTGAGGCGTCGCAAACCGGTTTGGCAAGTAATGAATTAGTATAATAATTCGATACTGAAGTATAAATTGCTTTTGAACTAAAATTACTAAGAGATCTAGGATGAACAAAGTTGCCCCAGTTGTCAGTAGGAGTGAAACAGTACTGTTTCGGCCCACCAGGCCTCATCAGCCATTTCAAAGATCAAGATCTAGTCATGTTATCACCACCTAGTGGCATAGTTATGAGGTAGGACCTGGCGATCGCGTCATACACTGTATGAGGCTGCCATCTATAGTCAACATGAGCAGGCTCCTACGTCTATAACTAGGATGAACACTTGCCCTAATTGCCAGGTTAAGTTACTCGAGTAGTCAGGTAGTGCTCTCTGTCAGCAGATTGGTTTACTTGAAGTACCACATTGCAGGGTTAGTAGACGTAGGGGTCTGCACGTGTTGACTATGGATGGCAGCGTCATACAGTGTATGCCGCGATCGCATGACCCTACCTTAGAACTATGCCACTAGATGGCGATAACATGACTAGATCTTCATGTATTATCCGGCGTCTATGAAATGCTGTTGATGCAATGTGTCTGTATTATTCAAGGTTGGAAGAGAAGGCTAGGGACGAAATAGTGGCGTGCGGGGGCAGCATTTCCCACCACCACGGCGTGGGCAAGCTGCGGAGGAAATGGTATCCTCAGACTGTCTCCGATGTGGGCGTTGACCTCTATCTCGCCGCCAAGAAGCACCTCGATCCGAAGAACATCTTCGCCACCGATAATTTGGTGCAGTCCAAGTTGTAGGATAGGAAGTTGTAGGATAGTTTCTCAAGTATTATTGATGTGTTACCACTAGTCGTAGGATTATACTATTTTATACGGTAATATTGTGGACGGTGTGACGGTGATGGATGTTTGTGTGAAGAGTGTCAGAGTGTCTGTGTGTTTGAAAATTCGAAGGTACAACTCACTTCAATTTGTTTCGAATAATGATAATAAAATTATTATAATTTGAACGGAGTTTGCAAAATTGTTTTTTTCATTTCCAAGTCGCTATTTTAGGAGAAACCACCCTGAATTACTCTTCAACCAAACGAAAATTCGATGAGGAATATTGCTAAGACACGTCAATTTTGATTACTAGAGGGACATGGGATGACCTAGAAATGAAAATTGACGTGTCTTAGCCCCACGGTATGGATTTAGTGTTTGGAGAACATGTGCAGGTACTTATTGGCTAATTGTGTCCCTTCCTGTGTCATTGAATTATAAAAGAGGTAGGTAGCTAGGTAGATAAATTATTCATCAAAGCAAGTTATCTAAATCTAACCAACTATTTATGGAATTCACCTGATTTGAGGGACTATTTTTTTAAATGAAATATGTCATTACTCAATTAATTCAAATCACTTGATTTTGGCGAAAAAAGTTACTCAGTTCTGACTTTTACAGTTAGTACTTTTCTCCCGGGTATACACTTACAGAGAAGTGTCCAAAAAACGGCCAGGATTATAACTTTTGAATCATTCGAGACATGGTTTTGAAAATTGGTAGGCAGCTAGTATATCAAAGTCCTCATTAATTGACGAAACAATTTTCGTTCTATCACTTCCAGTTTTACTGGAAACGATCCCAACTTTAGATTTTTAAATGGGACACCCTGTATTGTATTCCATAATCGGTTAGGGATTGTCATAACAAATTCTTCGATACCGGGTTTGATTGGGTTATTTCAAATGATTACATAGAGATTCGCGTTCCAAGTTTCCATATGCTCAATGAGTGTGACAGAAAAAAGAAACTTCGAACGCAAATATCTTTGTAATCACCTGAAATAACCCTATCAAACCCGATATTGTTGAATTTGTCATGGAAATCCCTAACCGATCATGGAATACAATACAGGGTGACCCATTTGAAAATCAAAAGTTGTGGTCGTTTCCGGTGAAACTGGAAGTGATAGAATAAAAATTGTTTCATCAGTTAATGAGCAATTTGGTATACTTGGTACCCACCAATTTTCAAAACCCTATCTAGAATAATTCAAAAGTTACAATCCTGGCAATCATCACATCACTCAAATGACCTGTTCAAGATTTTTTCAAAAATTAGTTGATATCAGATTTGAACAAATTTGAGTTCCACACTGTAACCATGCAAAACGAATTTAGCATTCGAGAAATAGTTATTTCTGCACACGAAAATAAAACGAGAAATTAGAATTTTCCATATGGTATTATGTTGATTGAAGACTATCAGGAACTTATGGTACTAAAAAACTCGATCATCATTCAAGTTGATATTTTCTTTATCAAATAGAGAACATAATGTACAGAAATCAAAATAAATTCTGCATTGAGTATTCGTGAAATAATTATGTACTTAATACATTCATAAACTATTATTTATCCTAATAAATACAAGACTAGGTCAATAAAAAATAAAACTTTGAATTGGAGTCACTACCTTTGGGAGAATATGCTCATTGAGTTGGTATTGGCTCTCTTCCTAATTAGTCTTCCTGATACTGTAAAAAAACATCCCTAGCTTCATTTGACTTCAAGTGAACCAGCAGCTCAGTCAAAATTCCAAAAAACTGCTATTACCTACAAACCTTGATTATTTACACTAACAAAATTATCCACCTCCATGTTAAAGCCTAATTTGGCATTAGTTATTGGCTGGTACCTAGGTGGCGTTAGCGAAACTCGGCAAAATATGGCCGATTTGTTTATACTCTCGGAATCTGCTCCAGACCATCTATCTGCAAGTTGCTGAACTATCTGGGTCTACCTTTCTTTCTGAGGTCCCTTGCACACGAGCGGTGAAAGACCGTGGAATATTTAAATACAAGATATTATATGGGGGTTTGCACACAGAACGGCACCAGCAAATTAACCGCCCGGCAAAGGCCTGGTTTCCCTGACCAGATCGGAACGAAATATTTCGGCGAATATCCGCGTACAGAACGTGGATATTCGCCGGATTCAGTTCATTCATAAGTTTCGTCTATGTGTGGTTTGTCTGAAGAAAATTTTCGTGAATTTTCGTTCCGATATGTCTTCCCATAGGGGCAAAGTTAAAATGAAAAATGGATTTTTTATTGCTATGATTTTAGAAGGACATGATGTCGATGATGAGTATGCGTTATCAGTAGTATGTACTAAAAATAATAAAGTTTTGAACATGTTTGAGAAAAAGGCCAAAGGAGTTGTTAGTGTTGAAGCATCTTTTGGATAATGATACAAAATTCATTGAATCTTTTCGTTTAACTCCATCACTATTCCATGATCTACTGAATCATATAAAGGATGAAATTAGTTCGCTACCTACAAATAAGCATCCGATTTCTATTTCTCCCAAGGTCTAGTTTTATTTAATAATGATTATAAAAAATACGTTGTTTGTTTGTCTAAGTCTGAAAACAAACATTACGCTATTTCGGCGAACTGTGCCGTTTTGAAATTGTTCAAATCAAACACTGATTGATTGCGACGTACTACTAAACGTTCACTTCCCCGAAATTTCGGTTCGATCTTTTATACAAACCGCCACTACGTACTACGAATACGGTTGGTTTCACCGGAAACGCTAACGAACTTTCTGTGCTATATCACCGAAATATTTCGGGCTGATCTGGTCAGAGGAACCAGGGCTTAACCACAGTTTAAGGAATGCTTAACGGTCAAATTAAAATCGAATCTGGCGACATACGGAACCGGCCGGTAGAACTGTTGCCCGGTTCGTCTGAAAGCATGCGAGTTTAAAAATTTGTGAGCGTTGGCTAGTGGTGTATAGGTCAGTATTTGTGCAGATAGTGCAAGAGATGGAGCTCAAAAAAGAGGTCGATATTGAACTGCCTATTACGGCGATGGAGCAAAGGCCAGTTTTGTGCGACAAGACCACCAAAGAGTTTAGACTCGAGTTTAGAGGTAGACAGAAGACAAGAAAAGCTTGGGAGGAGATATGCTCTGTCTCATATTTGTATCCTGGTGACTTATATGCCCTTTTACTTTGTTTAGTAAATGAAAGGATGGAATCGACATTCTAAAATAATTGAAAAATTTCCTCTCCTCTGCTCTTAGCGGAACGAATAATGTGTAAAATGCTCCCACTGCTGTTTGTTCTTCCATTAATGGATGAATCCACTACTTCCTAGCTCGTGCCTTTTTATAGAGGCACTTACTTACCGTCTCCCGTGTGCAAACCATACCCGATTTTTCTGCCGGCCGGCAGAATTACCGCCCGGCGAATACACCGCTCGTCTGCAAGAGGCCTTAAGCAGGAAAATCATCCACTTTGATATTCTGGCTTTCAAATAATAAAAATATTTTAATCCGGCCCTGATGCGACATTCCTCCTTACATAAAAACAACAAAAAATGAACTTCGAATATATTCTGTATTACCGATCTCTACCCTTCGCTACTCAACAAAAAGTAGTTCACCTTGTTGCTCATAGAAACCGCCAGTCGCCACCTAATGAACAGAATTTCTGGCTTCATTGCTCTCATAAGGATGGTTAGTTCTTGATGTCTGTGTTGAAACTGTGCTTCAACATATGTTCTGCTACACTTTATGTAATCTCCCGTATTTCGATTGTACAAGATGTTCTATGAACCTTGCTATTATGGATCTCCTAGTTTGGCCTATGTATGTTTTCCCATAATCATTATACAGGGTATGTCACGACGAGCTTACACTATCTTTATATCGAGAATCAGTCGAGAGAAATCCATGAAAATGTGCATGCTTATATTTTAGATTACCGATCTCTACCCTTTGCTACTCAACAAAAAGTAGTTCACCTTGTAGAAACCGCCAGTCGCCACCTAATGAACAGAATTTCTGGCTTCATTGCTCTCATAAGGATGGTCCATCTTGTTAATGTAAATAGTCAAGGCTAAAATATGTCAATTTCCCAGATTTTTGCACTTACTTGCCAAATCTTGAGGTGTCAAAAGCTTCTCCAGCACCCTCTGAATCACCTCGATCCAGTGATCTCTGTCATGTTCAGTCTGTGCGGATAAATTGTAGGTTCTGTCGGGAGTTGTCAAGGAAAACGAGAAACCCTGATCTTTGATAGCAGCCGCCACGCCTATCCTGATGCTGAAACCGTCCAAAGAATGACCTGAAATCAAAATAATAAAATATCTCCCCAAAAAAATTCGTAGGTCAGCATACAACAACAAAAAAATAGTCCAATAGCCGGCTGCAACGACCGTCATCTGATAACGATATGTCCCACTTTTCATGAATACACCCTGATATCTCGGTTATTAATGGTGCGATTCTCTTGAAATTTTTGTATTGATTGTATGTTAAAATATGGAAGTATTTAGCAGCATGAACAGTTTCACGTCACCATTGGCGTGAGATGTTGGGGGGTACAAAAAAGGCCTTTATTTGGGAAAAGGATATTAAGACTAATTTTAAATTGTTTTTTTCTGCAACCGACACAAAAGTCGTCCATTTTGATACCAAAATTAGCTCTTAAATTAACGTTTCTATTACTGACACAAAAATAGGTATGATGCTTGGCAACATATTTAGTTCCTAGGAGCTAAAAAGGATCTACTGGACGTCATCAAGAATAAACAACATTGTGGCGGTTGGTTATTTGGGTTGAGACGCATACCTGATTTGTTTCCGATTTCAGCAGATTTGCCATTTCATACCCATGCTGGAGATATAAATACACCTTATTATAGTTTAGTATTGAAATTATAAACATCTCAGTTGAGTATTTTTGTTTTGATCAGGGAAGCCTTCAAGATTCAAATACATGCGTGATCTGTATTTCATTCGTTATTCTCGGGATGGATAACTTGTTTTTGAATAATCGCGGCAAGCAATTGTTTTTTTGTCTCAAACAACGATATTGTTTAGCTTCATTTGATTATCAAGTCAAACACAGTGTAGTATGGAGAGGAATAAATAATCTCTATTATCATTGTTGATATGCTCACTAACCTAACATTTTCCACGTCTTGTTCCTATAGCTGGCACTGGCGCGGTATTTGCCATTAGAGCACCTGGTCCATACCCAAATATGTCACTCTGTGGTTGTATTCATATTGAAACTACAATTCGAACATCCTTGAAAACCTAACCTGGTGTTAATGCAGGTAGAATATTCTCACCACACGGATTATTTGTCAATATTTGTTGCATTGCATACATATGGCACGGCATTGGTGGTTACTTCACATGTTTACTTGAGTTAATTGTTTCGGTTGCAGAAAAAATAGCATGTTTCATTCGGATCAAAAGTGACTTTGTTCGACTCGCAAATTTTGCTTTCGCTCGGCTTCGCTAAACGCTCCGCCTCGCAAATGCAAAATTCGCTTGTCAAACAAAGTGTCACTTTTGATCCTAATAAAACAATCTACTATTTTCATCAGATTCATAATCAGCATCCCCAAAAACCCCCCAATTCATATTTTCAAAGATCCCAAGAGCTGAAATAAAATATTTCAAAATCTCGCTTTTTATCAGAACACCCTTAAATCTCAGTTATCAACGATGCGATTTTCTTGAAATTTTGATGGTGATTGTATGTTACAAGAGAGTTTTTGTCATTATAGGCTTTATTACTGTGACAATACTCAAAGTACAGTGAAATAGTCAAAAAAGGACAAAAGGTAAGTGGTGAATTGAAAATTTATCTGGCCTTCTGCCCTCTGTCTATCTGTGGTAGGCAATAATTTGTTGCTTGTTTAGGAAATAAAGAAAATAAATAAAATATCCCAAGGAGTTTTATGAAATTTGTGTGTAGTCAGAGAGTGAATGTAAGTATGGGTAGGAAAATTCTTTGAAGCCATTAAAAATACAATTAAATTTTATACCTTTCCCACACGTATTTAAATCCAGAATCGTATTAAGCAGGTGATATTCTTCAAGTTTGAAAAGCTCACCCGATTGTGGCTTAATTTCCAATAAAATAATTCATAAATAGGCTATATCCTAGATCACCTCATTATAATAGATAGACCATGTGCTTTCTAGCCCCCCCCCACCCCAACTCTGATGGCTAGTTAAGCCAATGCCAAATGGCGGCACGTTTGAAATTCAACATTTTCAAACAATGCATAGTCACATTATTTACATAAAAAACGTGTAAGAAGTGCTGCACAAATTAATTCAGGTCCACAGTAATTATTATTCAATTATTGAAAGAAATAAGTAAAATCTACATTTTATCATCAAATATCAATAACATGTACCTATACAGGGTGGGTCACGGTAGATGGCACCTTAGACGTTTACGGAGAACGGGACATAAGATCATTCTGAAAATTTGGTTACCCAAGTAATTGCCCTTGACCTATCGATCTAAAATATTTTCAGCTCTGCGGCGTTGCCGCTTCTATCGAAAAGTAGCAACAACTTTGTTATTTTAAATGGAACACCCAGTATTTTATCGCATTTTCAGATTCTCTCTGAAGAGCTGATTTCATCGATGTATCACACTTGGGGTCTAGCGGAAATGATTACAGAGATATGGGGTGTGAAAAATCGACATTTTTTAACTTTAGGAATTTTTTTTGTCGAAACTATTCATAATTGGTCAAAACGGCTCACATGTCCCTATCCCAACTTTTGATCAACTATCTACTGACATTTAATTGAAACAAATACAGGGTGGTGCAGAATTCAGATTCTTGATCACCCGGTATATGTCCCAATTAAATATCAGTAGATAGTTAATCAAAAGTTGAGATAGGGACATGTAAGCCGTTTTGACCAATAATGAATAGTTTCGACAAAAAAAATTCCTAAAGTTGAAAAATGTCGATTTTTCACACCCTATATCTCTGTAATCATTTCCGCTAGACCCCAAGTGTGATACATCGATGAAATCAGCTCTTCAGAGAGAATCTGAAAATGCGATAAAATACTGGGTGTTCCATTTAAAATAACAAAGTTGTTGCTACTTTTCGATAAAAGCGGCAACGCCGCAGAGCTGAAAATATTTTAGATCGATAGGTCAAGAGCAATTACTTGGGTAACCAAATTTTCAGAATGATCTCATGTCCCGTTCTCCGTAAACGTCTAAGGTGCCATCGACCGTGACCCACCCTGTATATATTTCATATTGTATCCCCTTCACATAGATTAGTGACCTGTGTGTGAAAGAGATGAAGTATTTCACGCACAAAATTGTTTCTCCATAACATAAATACTTAAACTGAAAACAAACAATCAATTTATACAATAATGAGAATAAATTGAGATAAAGAAAAATAGAGTTGATTAAAAAAGGTCATCGATTTTTTTTCGCATTTTCTATCAGCCAACTTTCAACTCATTTTTCGAAAGTTCTGACATTGATATATTGAATGCCAATCATTCACTACCGGTCCAGTAGCCCATTGAACAAATAAACCCGAGGACAGAACACTGATTTTTTTTCTCACCTAAGAATATTTCCCCTTTGGGATAAGCATCTAAAGGCTCGTCGTGGTACATCAGCTTCCTGTTGTCGAGGGTGAACCAGCGCTTCTTGAAACCGTCCGATAGTCGGGGCCCCGTCTTCCACAGCCAACCCTCTTTCGCGAAATCCTCCGTCAAATAGTCCATGAGGTCGTGTTCACTAGCTGAAGGGTAAGCTACCTGAAGAAGGAGATGAATCCAGATGCATGTGGATTGATTTTCAGGGAGCTGACAGAGTTATAAACGATGCTTGGCAGTGTTATTGGGGTTCATTCAGCTATAATTTGATTCAGAAGAGAAAAACTTTTTATATACAACCTGTTTCATGTTTTTTCTCTTCCCTCTATATATGGAAAAAAATGTAATGTCATAGGTGACAAGTAATATAGGAATTGTTCTGTCTTTTCATTTGCCAATCCAGCCTAAGCCCGTAACATTTGGTCCTTCGAGCCGGATCGATGGACCAAATGTCCTGAATAATAAATTTGAATTGAATTATTCTAGATAGGTTTTTGAAAATTGGTAGGCAGCTAGTATACCAAGTTGCTCATTAATTGATGAAACAATTTTTCTTCCATCACTTCCAGTTTCACCGGAAACGACCCCAACTTTTGATTTTCGAATGGGACACCCTATATTGTATTCCATAATCGGTTAGGGATTATCATGACGAATTCAACGATACCGGGGTTGATAGGGTTATTTCAAACGATTACAAAGATATTTGCGTTCGAAATTTCCATATGCTCAATGGGTGTGACTTGGCAATATCAAAACTTCTTTCTCTGTCACACTCATTGAGCATATGGAAACGCGAATATCTGGGTAATCGTTTGAAATAACCCTATTAAACCCGGTATCGATGAATTTGTTATGACAATCCCTAACGATTATGGAATACAATATGGGGTGTCCCATTTAAAAATCAAAAATTGGGGTCGTTTCCAGTAAACCGGAAGTGATAGAACAAAAATTGTTTCGTCAATTAATGAGCACTTTGATATACTAGCTGCGTACCAATTTTCAAAACCATGTCTCGAATAATTCAAAAGTTATAATCCTGGCCGTTTTTTGTGCACTTCTCTGTATATATATATACACTGTTGATGGCTTTTGTTGTGCTAGATCCGAAAAATAAGCCAATAACACCGCCTTCAAGAAAGAAGTGGAAGTCCTTTTATCTTCAATTCCACTTTGTGGTTATGTAAATTACTGAACAACCACTGAGTTCACAATTTTTTCAAATCAAACAATCACAGAATTAAACTGACAGATATTTGATTACTTCAAAATAATGATAAAGATGCCTGCAACGCCGGTGTAATTCCTGTTGAAAACTTCAAATTTCAGTTGATAATTTTCAGATTTTATTATAATGTAATATCTTCTCAATACTGATTCGTCCCTTTTGTTTCCCCCACCACATGTTGGGAAACAACACATCCTCGAGCTAAAATCTAGTACTTTTTTCCCTTGTATAATAAATAACTATTTAAATTGTTTGACCTATGACATGAAATTTTTGACTTAGAAGCAGCCAAAAGGAAATTTTAAGCTTGCCAACATAATAATTATTGCCCTCATAGGTCAGAAAATTGTCCATAAGGTCATTTTTTACCGGATTGAAATACAGGGTATTTTTTAAATTATAGTCTATATATTTCTTGTTGGTTTGTCAAGGAGCTACAGGGCATTTAAGGTTGAATAATCTTCCAAGTTGGACAATGTATTTTCAATTTTTGACTACTTTTAATTAGCAATTATGATTGATTGCAAAAATGTATAGTAGGGTAGGTAAATAAGGTTCATGTTTTTCTTTCACAGCAAAACTCAAGCATAAATTTGGAAAAAAATCATTTAACTTTTTATCTTGCCACTGTAGATTTTTAGGAAAATAGCCTTATAATATCAATTTCTAATTACATATCCAATAAAGACATAAAAAACTCTATTTGGAAGTATATAAGCTAGTTTGTGCTTAATTATTCCCAAAGATCTATTCTTCACCTGATTTTCAGAAAAAAAAAGTTTAGTTGAGATCTAGTTGTCATACTTTTCAACATATTGGATCTTGAAAATCCTCTCATAATGCATTCATCTATTTTAATAGCTCTCAATGGAACTTTCAGAATGCCCACATTTTTCAAGTTGGTACTATTTTTTTCTGAGAAAATTTCAAAATCTAATTAAAAACATTACATATACCAAACAAAAGATAAATTAAACTCTTCTAGAATAAAATGGTAAAACTAATGACTTTTGAATATTGCATCAATCATCTGAGGATAGGGACACCCTAGATCATTTTTAGATTGAAAAAAAAAATCATTAGGGAAGTCAGACATTTCACTGAAAATATAAACACCAATGTTGCAACTATCCAACAAATATATAATAAGCAATGTAGAAACTAGTATAATGAACATAAGCTAGAGTTCATTGACCTGTGCTTTGTATATGTTAATCATTGTAGTCACTGTTGATTTCATGTGATGTAGATGAATACAAAGCTTTGAGGAAATTACAAAATTAATAACCAAATGCTCATTCAAAAAAATTGATTTTTGTATCAAGGAAAAAATACTTTGATAATTTTAATATTTTGAACTTACCTGTAGTCTGTGCAATTTAGCACATCTCACTGCCATATACCAGTTGATAATAACTTCACCCTCATCATGAGAGACATAAATATGCCTAGTTGTACCATCTTTCAAGAATGTGAGCTGTAATGAGTTGGGATGGCTAAAAACACAAAAACTAGTCAAGTGAACTTTTTCCCAAAGAAAAAATTAATGAACTTACCCGATTTTTTCTGGGGCAAACACTACATTCAATTCTGATATTCTAAGGACAGCCTTGGGTTCTCTATTTTCTCTAACAAAATACTTCAAAGTGTCTTCAGCTTCAGAAAGCACAAATTTCCTTGACTGGTACCTACTGTCTTCTTTACCACGTTTCATGAGAAATCCCTGCATGTAGCCACTAGTGTACTGCTGTCTTTCAGGGTAGCAAAACTCCTCACGCAAATACTTTGCTCTAATCCATTGTTCAATTAGAACTCTACAAAAATATGATGACTCCAGGTGATGGTGTGCTTACATCAACTTACTGTGGATCATTTTCTTTGGGTCTCCTGTAACAAGATGGTACCCTCTCTTCATACTTCATCTTTCCTTTGGTGTTTCCTGTTGTCTTCATTCTCTCAACTTGTGAGTCTTCCCATCTGTCTAATTTCAGATGCTTCACTTTACTGATATGAACTCCCATGCTCCGGTGGACTCCGGAACAGCGGGTGCATATAAAAATTCCGATGTTGTATGATGCCCATTCTGGACCTAAGGCAAAAAAAATGCAAGTACTCAAGGTTTTTCATCTCTTCTAGGGATTGTATTGCAATGCAACTATTTTTGCCGATTTGTTCAATTCGAAAATTTGACGAAATTTCAATGTTTTTTCTTCTAGTTGGTTGATGAGAATGTTTGTTTACATCACATAGGTATTGGGCGGCGTGAGAAGCACGTCTCCCGTCAATTTGGTTACTATTTTAGAAGATGGATGTACTCACTTTTAGCCCCACAATCGGCGCAAACATTATTTCCGGGATATTTCAGTAGCTCGCTCAGTATTTTCTCGTTGCGATCGGCCATTCCGACACATGAATGTAATACAAGAACAAGACGAAAATATAAAAAGAAAAAACCTTCAACTCATCACAACAACAACAACAACATCCTATTTCGCACTTTCGTTTCGCTAGGAAACATAGAACAGTATTATTTCAGAACTCCACAGAACCATAGAACACACTAAAATCACAGAATATTACACCATAGAACAATAAAATTCTGTCACTGCAAGGATTATGTGGTGGAAGTACAAAACTCATGCAAGGCATAAATTCGTTTTGCCCAAACATATGCATAGACAATTTCTCGGCGGTAAATTCGAATAACCAACATTTTCACATTATAGGAAATCTAGCAGAGATTAGCCACCCACAGAACTAGGAATCAATATACGGTCTCGTTTGTGTTGCTGAACTTGCTAAAGTTGGTTTTGTTCCCATATTTGTCTCTGTTATAGCAAAATGTAACGAGAGAGTCATAGAAAAAAATCATGTTTAGCAGGTAGAGCAAACACAAAGAAAACGTACTTTTCTAAACAAATTCGTTCCGATGTCACGCAAAAGTCCATTATTTTGTGTTGAGCCAGGAATTACTATCTGATCATTCATGTCAAAGATAAGTTACCCTAATTATACTTTATATATTATTTGTATAAAATGTATCAATGAAGAAAACAATGTAATTCAATAACTGAAATAAATGAATACATCATTTGATTCAAATTATTACTTTCCAGTGAACACATCTGTCTATTCTTGTGTGACTTGACCACAAACAAGGCCCTTTCATATAGATATATTTTTAAGACGCATGCGCTCGTTTTCAGATCCAAAATTTGATTGGGTAATGCGAAGGTGAAGTCTCATTGGCTATAGTTCCAACTCAAAATTCTGGTTGGTCATTTCGAATATGGCGGTTTTTATTGACGTTATTGACGTTCTGTCAAATGTCAACCACATTGGGCATTCGTCATTGAGAAACAACAATAACAATATAGTGAGTATTTTCGTTTCTATATTCCTGGTGTGTATTATATTAATTTAATATAGGGGTTATAGGGAAGATTGGGATCTATGTACATTTATGTACATTGAAACTAACTATAGCCCTTTTCAGTCTCAGTAATTAATATATTTATTATGTTATGTTAAAAATGAAATGCATATTACTGTAGTTTATTGTTGTATATTATTGCTGAATCACTGAATAAATGACTAAATAAATAAACCAACAAAACTTTATTTATTCCTTACTGAGGAGCGTGGGCAAGTGATTCGGTGAAAATGGCCGCCACTGTCGTTGGATTGGACTTTTCCTAAAAACAAATAAAATCAAGTCATTTAAAATGTAGGTACATTCACTTGATATTTGCTTACCTGATCTATTACACAAGTAATATTTAACTGGTCTAGTCTTAAACTTTGATATATTTGATAAAACATAACTGGACTGGTTTATTTTTTCTATAGTCTTCTTCCAGGCAAGAAAATCTAGAACACACAAATTTTGGAGTCTATTTACTTTTTCAACTCTCAATTGACATTACCTTCTTTGTTTGAAAATTCCATCTCCTCACAGTTGATTTGTCTCTCATGCTCATCAGTTAAACGATTTTTCAGTCCCACATTGTGTCGAAAGGAAGTATCACAGTTTTTCTCCAAACACTTATACATATATTTTGATTGATCACAGGAAACAATCTTGGGCTTCAGATTATGTACTTTTTTTCTGTGTTTATTTAAATAAGACTGATTAGAAAATGATTTATCACAAACAGAACACATAATATCCATTGTCGCACGAGTCTATTTAGCAATATTTATTACTTTACACGATCTTTTAGAAATCGAGAAAAATACAACAGCGAATGACAGGTCACGAAACATAACCTCAATAATCCTCCTCACTCCTCAGAGCAATATATTTATGTATTGCTCTGAGGCTCACTCTACTGTAAATGAACCATTTACCCCAATCAAGTTCTTCAAGATACCTTATTTCTGCTGTGCTAGACAAAATAATTAGGTAATCATTAGGTATCATGGGGCATTTTCTGGATTGTCCACAAAACGTTATATTCAATATAATTTAATATACACACAGACTAAAAATTTCTTTATTTTTATAATAAGAATAAACAGAGCCCTGTAGAAGTTGATGCCCTAGGGATAAGCCGACCAAGTCAATTGCCCTAGGGCCTAGGGTCATTAATGAATGATACCTCATTGACACTTGATTATCAAAGAGAATGTATATTTTGGAATGATATTAGTAAAGCATTAAAAAAAGGTTGAAGAGTGATTTCGAATTCCAGAAGTTTGAATAACCTGACATGAAGAAACACAGATATGTAATGATAATTATAGCCAAGAAAATCTAAAAAAGACCAACAAAATAACCAAACTCTGAGAAACCAGATTTTTTGAAGAAATTGCAAGTGTTAAATATGAAATATAAATATATCTCCATCAGTTTGTGCTCTAAACTTTTCAATAGCATTCTGTCGAGCCACATCCCACCCCCTCCATAACAAAACGCCCACTTTGGTAAAAGATAAAACAAGAAACTGGCCTCAAGAATTTTCCGACTCCACCGAATTGTTGTCAGACTCTCCGTCGTCCACGTTCTCACCCAACTCCTTCAGACGGTCTTTGAAGCTGTTCAGCTTCACGTCCTGATCGGTCAGCAGCTCCAGCAGATCGTCCTGATCTTTTCTGATGCGATCGAGGTCGGCCGCCTTCGTCGCGTTATCCGATTCCAATTTCCTGATTTTTTCCAGCAGATCGGAATTTTCTGAGTCGTTCGGAGGCGAAGAAAGGTCTAAGTGCCTGTCTTGGATCGCGATATTTGAGGAATTCGCGGCCAATTGGGCTCTCAAGAGAGTGTTTTGGTCCACTAGTTGTTTGTTGGTTTCCTGAAGATCGTCTAATTGCGCCTGAAAACGACTTTTCCATTACATTTGAAAGAATATAGTTCTTCTATTTTCTAGCATGGAGAAAATTCCCTGGAAGTTGCGATGCGAACTGGAACAAGCGAGTTTATTTTGCGTTAGATAGATATACCGTTTTTATAGTGTGAACTGTGAACTACCGCTCTACCACAGAGAGAGAATAACAACTTATTACTCAATTCTATTTTGATTTAATTCAATTATGAAAATAAAAATATAATATCCACGCAAATATAACTACAGGGTGAGTCAGAATAAGACCGACAAACTTCGTACATGAATTCCTCACCTCATTTTGAGGTGAAAAGTTCCTATCAATGTATGTCCTAGAATACATCTCTATTTCCATCGCCAACTGCGGTTTTTCAGGTTTTTTCATTATGATTTGAATGTTTGGCCAATGACGGATAAATATCTAGACTGTCTGACGGGTTATACATGACTGTTCATTCAGTCAGTTCAGCGTATATTCCAGCAGAGGGGTTTACTTGCCGTCCTTTGCGGAGAAGTCAATTGTTTTCTGTTGTTTTGAGCTTTTATTCAGTTGTTTTCGATAATATAGGTTATATTGAAATGGAGACCTCTTTCATTAAGTATTAATTTCAAGAAAAACAGTTACTTTGTTCAAGAAATAGATACGATATAATTTTTTTCAGTGGTATACGAGGTATATGACCAAAAATATGAATTCTGCTCAGGGGTGAATGAACTTCTATATGGTGTAAAAACTAAAAACAAGTTTGTGACCGAACCGAGTGGACCACGGCATATCAGCCACCATTAAAACAAAAAAGATTTTTTCACAGAACATGATTTTTAGGGGTTCCGTTTTCGGTACCACTCAATAACAAGTTTCGGTTCCGGTCCACAAAATAATATGAGTTCCGTTGCGGGATTCGGTTCATAACGGTTCCGGTCCAAGTCCCTGCCCTATGTGTAAGGGTTGGGCAAATAATCTGAAAAGATGAATAATACAGGGTGTCCCTAAAAGATCTGTACAAAATCATAGCATACATTCCTGAGATCATATTAAGTCGTTTTGAAGCAACTTACCCCAGTCCTAAATTGCTCCGTTTCCGAGATACAGAGTGGTGAAGATAATTGGTGCCTTGACAACCTTGCTTTATGAGTGGGAATGGAAGGTTATCTGATCAATAACGAAACAGCATAAAAGCTGACGTCACAATTTATTCAACGTATCGCCAAATTGCTTCCATGACGGTACGTATTCAACAATATTGAACAACACATTGACTCATTATTTACAAAAAAAGAGCGTAATTTAGGTCCTTCACGACACAGTGGAGTAATTGACTGCCAATAATCCATTATTATCAGTCCACTCGCCCATTCTGAGAAATTCTATTTTTATTCTTCAACTTTACCACCCTGTATCTCGAAAACGGAGCAATTTCGGACTGAGGTAAGCTGCTTTGAATCGGCTCATTTCGACCTCAGGAATATGTGCTGCTCCGATCTTTCAGGGACACCCTGTATAGAGATCAATCGCTCACCTCCAACTCTTTGCAACGCATTTTACACGCCCCCATGTTGGCTGCGAGCTCCTGTATCTGCTTGTCCTGCTCCCTGATCAGCTCCTTGTACTGCACCAAGAGGGCGTTCTCGTGCTCGCTCAGGCTCAGCTCGGAAATGCCGCTGAACAGGTCGCGCTGCCTGCCCAGCGCTTGGTAGATCACCCCCTCCATCGACTTCAATCAATCAATCAATCAATCAATAGCTATTTATATATCAAGGGAGCAAAGGTATCCATTTCCTCCCGTCTGTGAAGTTTGAAGTAAAAAATCAACCGCGCGATCGAATGACTTGAAATTTGGTCACCCAGTATATGTGTTGACGCTCACTCGAAATATGCTATTGTAGGTAGACAGGGTCACATCAAAGTGCACCTCAACTTTCTTATTTGAACAGGAACACCCAGTATATTATTCCATATTCAAGTAGAGTTCATTATTACAAATTCAACAATGCCGGGTTTGATGGGATCTTCTCAAACGACTACGAAGATATAGCAAAAAATAAAACGATTCAATAAAAAACATAACTACAGACTCGTGAAGAATCATCTCCGCCATCGGTTTGGAGAAAATCTAATATCCACCAATTGCCTCGATGGTGATAGCAACTGGCCAGCTCGGTCGCCAGACCTCACCCCACTTGATTTTTATTTTTGGGGCTACTTGAAACCACACGTTTATGAGTCGCCAATTGTGAATATGTTTATACCTTGATTGAAATATGTGAATTCTGATATTGAAATAATTCAAATTTTCCAACTTTCATCATTACATAAAATTATAATGTATTATGGAAATGACTGTGGCAACGCTGTATTGGCGTGTTTTCTACGAGAAAGACATATTTTTCCTGAAGTAATTCACGTATGTCAAAAGCCGACGTTACAGTCTCGTTGTGCTGTGTTTGTTACCATTCTAGGACTTTTTGTATTTCAATTGATTTTCAGTGTGTTCTGTACATCTTTCGCAGCCCCCTGTCTGTATATTACCTTGAACAGCTGGCAGAACTCGTACTCGAGCAGCAAGTCCCCGGAGTGTTTGGCCCTCGGCTGCGGCTGCTTGGCCGCCAGCGCATACACCTCGTGGTGCGACACCTCCGACAGCTTTCTGCAGTACGTCTCGATGCCGACGCGCTTCTCGATCAGCTGGCTGAGGTTCTCCTTCGAATAGTTCGGCTCCGAGTTGTCGTTGAAGGCGACGCACAGGCCCATCAGGAAGGCACAAAGACCCTGACATTTCATGGGAAAGGAGAACAAAATTGTAATCTGATGTAGACTACACTGAGTACACTGAGTCATTGAAAGCTGATGTAAGTCAAAGTGATTCAATGGGAGTCAAAATAAGTCAACAAGAGTGTCACTGTAAGTCGATTGGGGTCACTTTAAATTAATGAGTCAATGGGAGCCACTGCAAGTTGATGGCAGTAACTGTGAATCATTGAGAGTCACTATAAGTCAGTAGGAGCCACTGTAAGTTGATAACTAGAGGATTGTTCATCTATATCTTGGTATAGTTGAATCAGGAATTCCATATGGAAATTACGTATGATACGCCAGTGACCTCAATATAACCTAAAAAAACAACGAATGCGACGAGGATCTGTCCGTGTCCGTACCCTGTTAAGAAGACTAACATCAATTTCCATCAAGGGTCCCTAATCGGAAGTAACTGGAACACATTAATCAGTCGTCCACAACAATCCGAAATACTTCCATACAAAACCACAAAAAATACTCGAAATCCATCGGATCAACAAACTAACCTGTAACAGTTCTTCGTTGTCGTCATACTCGCTAGCTGACGCCTGGGCCGTAAGGAAGGCCATGGCCCCCGACACGCCGAGGAACACCTTAACGGCCTGCTGCGAGTGCGCCATCCACTGCGCCAGCAGCATCAGCACGCCCAACTTCGACTGCAGCCTGGCGGTGCGCTGCAGGAATACCGCGCACTGCTGCAGCAGCCCGAACGGCTGTGCCCCCGCCTTTGTCGCCACCAATACCCTTAATAATTATTAGGTGTATTTATACTATATTAATTGTCTAAGATATAAAACCCATTTATGTCTGAGATGCAAATCTCAATAATCTATGTACAGGGTATCCCAATTTGGGCACTTTTGCGGGGTATCTCCCTTATCAGTAAAGATAGAGCATTGCGGTTTTCGCGACAGTGTGCTACTTTTTTATGAAATTAATAATGGCGCAAGCAGAATTGTGATAGCTCTTCCGGTTGTCGAGATACAGGGTGGAATTGAAAAATATCACTTTTCAGGCACCCTCCGTGTCTCAGTTATCTTCGAACTTATCGAAGAAGTTGAAACTTGTTTTTATAGAGTTTTTTTCGTAGAATCCAGTGGCGTAGTTATTTTTTTGCTAGCACCTTTTGTTTTTTAGTTATGGAGCAAACATATGTTTTTTTAAATGGAACACCCTGTATATTATTTCATATATACATTGAGCATGAAGTGGGCTTTCCAAAAATATATAATTGTATACAATTATTTTCCATTTGAAAAAACATATGTTTGCTCCATAACTAAAAAACAAAAGGTGCTAGCAAATAATAACTACGCCACTGGATTCTACGAGAAAAACTCTATGAAAACAAGTTTTAACTTCTTCGATAAGTTCAAAGATAACTGAGACACGGAGGGTGCCTGAAAAGTGATATTTTTCAATTCCACCCTGTATCTCGACAACCGGAAGAGCTATCACAATTCTGCTTGCGCCATTATTAATTTCATAAAAAAGTAGCACACTGTCGCGAAAACCGCAATGCTCTATCTTTACTGATAAGGGAGATACCCCGCAAAAGTGCCCAAATTGGGATACCCTGTCCCTACTAATAATATGAATGTGAATGTAAGCTTCTTTGGCGAGCTTTCACGCCAAAACTACCTACTCAACCGATTATCATGAAATTTTTTATACATATTTTTAAATGTAAAGGAAAGGACAGGATGCTTTTTATCAAAAAACAATATTGTTTACGGACGCAACAAAAAATAACCCGTGTGATGAGGATTATCATTCCTCTAAAAGCCTGCGTGTTTGATGAGTAAAAGATCGTGGGCATTTATTGTTGGGGCCGATAGTGATGCACTATTTCAATGATGTTAGCTCTCGGCAGAATAATTTCTGTATTGCTATATACTATACATATTGTGCTATCCCTACTATTTATCTAGATATAAAAAAGTCGTATTATTTACACCATTTATAACTCAAGAACTGCTGGACCGATTTTTATATTTGATTTTTTAGATTTCTCTTAGTCCGGAATGGGATGATGAGTATTGAAATTCATGAAAAAGAATAGATAACTATACTCATGTGCAATGCGATGCCAACAAATGCTGACATTGTCCGAGTCGCGTGGATACGAAGTGATTTATAATTATGTGTAGTTTGCAAACGTTGCGAATGTGTCAGTATTTTTAAATTATATAGAATCAGTTAAAAACCAACCTATTCGCTTCAGAATAAGCTGAGCGCCATAAACCTCTCACATTGGTCCTTCGAGCCGGATAAATCAGGATCATCAAAGGAATGTCGGGCCACGCTGCCACTCTCTTTGAACTTTCAAAGAGACCGACGGACTTTGCATAGACTTCATTCTGAGTTTGGACTTACCTGAGCAGCTGCTCCTTCTGGGCCGGATTGTCGACGAGGCAGTGAGACAACGCAACAGCCGAAAACCAGTTGCTGAGAGCGTCGTTGCCGAACAAGCCGCTGCACAGCAACTGCCCGGTAGTCACCGATGCGACCGCCTCGTTGCTAGGCAACAAGGTGTGGACGACCGTCTGCTGACCAATCTCGTTCTTGAAGAGGTAGCATTGGAAACAGTAGAGTACGGCACAGCGCAGGGTCAGCGGTTGCTTCTCGTTGACCATCGACATGAGAAGGACAACAATTACTGGGCGCGGCGGGTTCGACGGGGCTTGGACGTTCGAGAAGTATTCTTGGTTGGTTAGGTTTCCACGGATTACTTCGCCGACTGGAATCGAAATTGATCAAAACAGTTCATTACAAAAAACTACCATGATTCTGTTTGGTGCAAACAAAACTGAAAGGTACAGGCTAGTTTTCAGATTTTCAGTCATGATGCTGAGTTGTCAATCAGATTTGACCGTCTGTGACCCGATCTCGTTCTTGAAGAAGTAACTGGAAGCAGTACGGGGCAGCGCAGCGTAAGGTCAGTGGTTGCTTCTTGTTGACCATTGACATGAGAAGAACTATTAGTGGGCGAGGGGGATTAGAAGGTGCTTGGACGTTCGGGAAGTATTGGTTCGTCAGGTTGCCACGGATTACTTAGGTGACTGGAATTGAAATGGTTTGGCGGCCCCCATTTCCTCAAAACAGTTCATTACATAGAACGTCTGTATAAGTTTATAAATATTATTGTTCACGCTTTATATACCTTTATATACCAATTGGTGATGTCATAAATACTATAGAATTTGAGAAATTAATAAAGAACTTTTAATGTCAGACTAGACTAGAGTATCAAAAATACACCGTGTCCCAGCTAAAATGTCCCCCACTGTAAAAAGTCAACCGCGCGATCTTGATGATGCTATATTATTCCATATTCAAGTAGAACTCATCATTACACATTTAAAAATACCATGTTGATGAGATTTTCTAATACTACGAAAATATGGTGAAAGAACTATTTGAATAATGGAAGATACTTATCCAATAATAAAGTAATGTCAATAATTTGACAGTGAATATTTGTAGGGCCACTTGAAATAATAGGCTTAAGAGTCGCCAATTGTGAATATGGAGGAAATGAAACAAAATAACGAATTTATTTTTAATTGAATCGTGCCGTATCTTCGTAGTCATTCGAAAAAATCCCATCAAATCCGGTGTTGTTGAATTTGTAATAATTTGCTCTACCTGAATATGGAAGAATATACTGAAAAGTTTAGGTACACTTCAATGTGACCAGCACCATATTTATGTAGGCAAAGTCTTTCATGATCCGGCTCGAAGGACCACATTTTCTTGAAACAACATCTCAATCAAGTCCCGTTTTCCAAATATCTTGTTTCATTTTCGAGATATCAGATTCTGAAGTCGTGAAAAGAACAGTCAATCACCGTGTACAATTAGGCAACTTATTTGAAAGAAAAAAAATTGAATATTGGCCTAGTAAAGCTCTTTCTCTTAGTCATTGTTTTATCTGTCTCTCTTTGCTACTTCTCTCAATCCATGCCTCACTATCTCCCTCCTATCTCTCTTAATCTGCCTCCCTCTGTCATTGTTTATCACTCTATCACTCTCTCTGCTCTGTACCTCTCACTCTCATAGAGTGATGAAATTCTAGGCCAGAAAAATGATTTATAGTTTTCGTTCTTTTTGGCATCTTACCAGTGTTGATGGTTTCAGTTAGAATGTTCGCCGGGACCCCGGCAGCCATAAGAATGTCCGTTAAAGCTTCCAAGAGGTTGGTGTTGCGCATGGCCTTTTGACAGGCTGCCACCACTTGGGCTGGGTTGTTAGGGGAGACCAAGGTCCTGACTAGCAGCAGCATGCAATGGAAATTGGAGACCTTTTGCGGGCTCCAACCGATTTCCTCTAAATTTGGGGGCAGAGTGAACATTGGCGCCAGTTTTTGGATGTAAGAACCTTCTTTGAAGAAATGTATGTTGCTGGTGTTGTTCCTCAGAAGATTTAGCAAAAGGAGGAAACAGTCTTCTACAACAATCCCACCATCTGTACCACCTTGAATATAATTTGAAAACTTCATTGTGTATATTTTGAATAACTCACATGCTTATATTGGCTTTCTTTTCCATATATCTCCAAATTAGTTCTTTCATATACGTACAGGGTGATTCAAACTGCCGGCCCTTTGCTCATAACAGGAGAATGAATACTGCAAATGAAAATTTGACCGGGCAAATTTGAATAGCTGTGTGTAAGGTATATTTTTTCATATATAAACAATCATCAATCTTTTGCAAAATGGCGGAAATTAAGTCAGAAATTTTTTTCCCACAAAGTTACCATTTAATTAGAATATTTTGAGAGAACATAATTATATTAGAATATTTTGAGAGAACATATTTTTTTAAACAACTTTTTTTTATCTTCATACTATCTGAAGTTGGCATTTTCAAATAAATCTCAACTGATCCACCCCGCACTAATAAAAATAAGGTCGGCCGGGAAACAAATTGTTTTGTAAAAAATATGAATTGGAATACATTTTGTATTCATATTAAAAGCATCAAAAATAAAACACAGCAGACTTGATTTTTATTATGGTGGCGTGGTCAGATTTATTCAAAACTACCACAACTTCATAGTCCCAAAGCTATTAGCCAAATGAAGATAGAAAACTTTATGGATGAAAGTTCTTTGAAAAAATAAGTTCTTATAGAATATTGAAGGAAAGGTAACCTTGTGGAAAAAATATTATTTTTATGTCATTTCCGCCATTTTGAAGAGGTTAAAAAGTGTTTAAAAATGAAAAAATAAACCTTACACAGGGCTATTCAGAATCCCTCTGCCAAATTTGCATATACCTTTCCTTTTTCTGTTATAAGCCTAGGGCAGGAAGTTTAAATCATTCTGTACCTAAAAAAATGCATTAATTTGCAAAACTAACATACCCACTTTGAATCAATTGAATAAATATTTGAATAAAGGAAAAAATATCATGTTTCTTTCCAACATTTGAATGATTGAGCCTATCATCATGCAACTTATTTGGTCATATAATAAAATGAAAAAAACTGGAAAAAATACCTTCCACAGCAATGCAATCTTATAAAATTTAGATTGTAACTGTTTAATTTAGTAAGGTTGGTTTATAGGAAAATTAAAATTAGTATTCAACATTTGATAGATAGGTAATTCAAATATATAGTCTCATCCTGAATCATGACACACTAAAGAATATAAAAAGTTGATTAATAAAACAATCTTAACATGGTGGGTAGTTCATTATTTTCAATATGTAGGTACCTAGTCATAAAGTAATGATGTGAACATGTACCTTCATCATTTATTACATCAAACAATCTGTCAAAGGCATTTTCAAATGCAACAATTTTTTGTATGTTTGCATTTGACTTGGTTAAATTGATGAGTAACAGTAAGGCATCATTCCTTATGACTTCACGGTTCTCCAACAGCAAATCCATAAGTTTGGATACTCCCATTGGACTGACTAAGATTATGTCCTGTACAACTTTAGGTTTTGAGAGGATCAGAGATGTCATTAATTTCACTGCTGGCCATCTCACTCTGAAATCATATTCTTCCATGAAGCTTAACACCAAGTTCACATTTTCAGGATTCTTCAGAAACATTTCAGTGAACTGTTCTCCTACAAATGTTTCAGTGAAATCTTCTCCCACATTGAGCTGCACATTATTAACTGCATTATCTATTTCTTCTTCAAAAGTTTGCTTTGCAGTTATATTGCACAAGGTATCTAAACAGTAACCAACAATCTCACAGTCACTTCTATCTAGCTCTAGTACTTGTCTGAGTACATCCATTCCTTGAGCACCCACTTCAAGCCTGAATTTTTTTGAAAGAGCTCTGAGTGCCCTGCATGCATCTCGTCTATCTTCTAATAAAGTAGAGGTGCTGACTCTACTCACTAACCTTTCAACCTATGGAAAACAAGAGCTCAATTGAATATTTCTGTACCTGGATTGGTGATATCAGTTATATAATGGAATTTACTACTTGCCGGAGTCGAATTATTCAAAGATTTGAAATGAAATACTTGATATTATTATGTTTTCTTATAACCTACTGTTTCAGCGCCTGTTGGTTGATTTCCAGGAGGAGGACCTAGTACGGATTTTAATCCGCTCCTGAAATAGTCCATTTTTTAAGGATATAAGATTTTAGATTTTCAATTCATTTTTCTATATTTTCTACCCAGCTGGTTAATGTTTCTTCATTTTCAAATTTATTTATTTATCTTTCACAAATCAACACATCACATCATTCACATCAATGACAATTGACATTATCATTGACGGTTGACTTTTCAATTTCATATCCATATTCGAAAAGTTCTATGCTTCTGTGAAGAACTGAAAATGAGAAGAAAACTGTAATACGGCACGGTGAGGTTATGTTTTGCCTTTATCAGATTTCAGATTCTAAATATCCGAGAACCACCGAGAACATCTTGGATACTTCTGTCCAATCAGAAATAGAATGGAGAAAACCCTAGACCAAATTTCTTCAGAACTGTATGTTTTTCATTTCATCAGAAAAGTTGCAAACTAATAATTTCTTTTACAGAATAAATTCTGGGGTCACTGGTTGCATATTTTTAGATCACCATGGGCTATGTGTAGGAAGTGAGTATCTATTCAATCAACTGACTATCTGAAATCAACTTGGGAACCTTCTTGAGAAAACCTGTGAAACTTTGTTGTAGTGAAAGGAAATGCCAGAGCAGAGAGGGCTGGTATAATTTCAGCAATAGCTGAAGAAGCTTCCAAGATTGAACCACAACAAAAAGCACCTTTCATTCATTTTGAAAATGACAATTCCTCTTGTACCATCTACCAAACTGGAACTGTGACCAGTGCCATTTTCCAGGATTCCACACCTAATGATAATTAAACATGAAATTTCCATTTAAATTATATCAAACAACCTTTCAATGCTAGGACTGAATCTTGGAAGAAAAATCTATCTGAAAAAACTGTCTGGGTTTGAGTAGAAATACTGAAGGGATCAGAGTGATGCCAAGCTTTTGGAAAACTATTTTAATGATTCAAATTCAATGCACATTTTCCTGTACTGTATAGTAGGCTGTAGCCTTATTAAAGCTGTTTTTTAATGAATAGGTATGCAGGGTATGCCTTCAAAAAAAGCTTCACATCAAAATTTGATGATACCAATTCAATGCAAATGTAACATGAATTATTTACTATGGAAATGGATATTCATTATTCTATATTTCTGAGTTGGTGGAGCTACTCTATGTATTGTATATCCAAATATCAAGGTGGTTAGAATATGGTGTAATCAGTAAGTGTTTTGTTTTACCGCAGATTCCGCGATAATGGCATATTAGTTGTTGTCCGCAAGATGGCGGCACTTTTTACAGATTTCTTTCATGACAGAAAACAGCGCTTACACACCGCTTGCACCAGAAATAATGTTATCATAACATTAATAACATAACATCAAATGAGATTAAATTTGAAAGTACGAAACTGTAATTTTGGAGAATTTCAATTCATCAGCTCTACTAACCTTGAATTTTGGTTGAGATTTTGCCATCTAACAACAACAAAAGGTAACAAAATCGACAAGTAGGCGTTGATGCCGACGTGGGGAAAAAATAATACGAAACTTGTCAAACCAATATGGCTGTTTCAATCCTTCCCTTAGATCATATAAACTCAATATAAACAACATTGAGTTCATTGAATCCTTCACTTTCCGTCCTTATAGATTCAAAAAGTACCTCTCATTTTGGTACAATTTTTGTTGATATCGTATAGGCGATGCGCCATATATAAAAATAGTAAATATAGGATTCCACAGAAGTTCTGTGCTTGACTTGACATTCTTGACAATTCAAACGTCAAGTTTGTTGACAATTTCTTTAGGATCAAAGTTCAATATCAAATTATTATGATAGCTGGACGTTCAAGTTCAATATAAATAATTTCAATCAAATTGTAGTAATTGTGCTGTGCCCTACTGTGCTGAACTCAAGTTCAAAAAAAATTAGCAATGTTGGTATTGAAGCGTTTCGCCCAACATTCGGCTCGGTTGGTTTCTGCCCCCAACTGTATCAATATCAATTTCATATCAATACAATTTCTAGAAACATCAGGGCCAGGAACAAGCACACACTTCCAGATCTGCCCTACGATTATGCTGCACTGGAGCCCGTTGTATCAAGAGACATCATGTGCCTCCATCATTCCAAACATCATCAGACTTATGTAACCAACTTGAATGCTGCAGAAGAAAACCTCAAGAAGGCAATTGAAAAAGGAGATGTTAGGTGAGTTCAAGAAGACTCTGGAAGTTCCAGGAACCAGTCATTTTGTTGATTTTTCAGTGCTGCAATTGCACTTGGACCAGCATTGAGATTCAATGGTGGAGGGCATCTAAACCATTCCATTTTCTGGCAGAATCTGAGCCCCAGCTCATCAGAGCCTAGTGCTGAGCTTTGCAAAGCCATTGAAAAGTCTTTTGGAGGCATTGACAATATGAAGAAACAATTGTCAGCTCAATCAATTGGTGTACAAGGATCTGGGTGGGGTTGGCTTGGTTATGACAAAACTGCAGGTACAACATGCCCAAAAAAGTTTCAAACTCCCACAGATTGATTGGTTTGTTTCTTATAGGCCTCATCAGGATTGCTACTTGTGGAAATCAAGATCCACTGCAAGCCACAACAGGACTGATACCATTGTTGGGAATTGATGTGTGGGAACATGCTTATTATTTGCAATATAAAAATGTGAGAGCTGATTATGTGAATGCCATATTTGATATTATTAATTGGAAGGATGTATCTGAAAGACTGAGAAAAGCTGCCTGTAACATGTGATGGGAAAGATATCCAAATGTTTTATTGTTTGTAATTTGTGATTGTATTTGCAACTTTAGGATAGCTGGAGAAAACTACAATTAGTTAACAATAATATATCATAATAATATGGAATGAATAGTGATAATGTATTTTTTGATAAATACAGAGCACAATCCAGCTCTTCTTTAGATACCACTACTTCAAACTTAAAAATGTGATTCATATTTGAAAGGCATTTTCAAGACAACCACTAACCAGTTGAACAAAAAGGAAATTAGCAAAAAAAAAAAATGGTTGTCCTCCTTATAGTTTAAAATCACAGTTTGGAAAACACAATTGTGTCATCTTTAGTCATCTGTCCCATTGCTGCTTGTACCAAATCCTCACTTTGTAAATGTAGTTGATTTAGCAGTGCCTGAAAAAATAATTGCCTACATTGCTTACAAGTTTTGAAAATAATTGGGTGCATTTAAATTGTCCATCCAAATTTGAATTCATAAAAAATATGTCAAATTGTTTCCATATGAATAAGATACAAAGAAAGATAATTGAAAATACTGCACTTACTATGTGATTGAGTCCTTCTTGCACAGAGTGATCCCTGGAATAAACAAGATTTGCTTTGGTATTCTGGATGGCCACAGGACTTTTCCTAGCTATACTTTCTGCTATACCCTCAACAGTTTTAATCATACTGAAATATATAATGTTTTTCAAACAAAATCATAAAAATATCAGTTGTATAAATATACATACTCCTCCCTATTTTCAAACACTTTTGATACCAATCCTGAACTTAATGCCTCATCTGCATGCATTTTCCTTGCAGTGAAACACAGTTCTCTTGCCAAACTATCAGATCCCACAACTTTGGGCAGTCTTTGTAAAGTTCCAACATCTGCAGCTAGCCCAACATCCACCTATACAAAAAATTTAGAATACCTACATCAAAATGAATATCATTCAACTTACTTCTTTTACTTGGAACCAAGAATCTTTAGTACAATACCTCATGTCAGCAGCAGTGATCATATCAACTCCTGCACCTACACATGCTGAATGAACTGCAGCCAACACAGGCTTCTTGCATAATTCAATAGAAGACATGGAGGCTTGATAGGCTAAAATCAACTTGTGAAATAATTTGGCTTTTCGAGATACATCAGGCTTCTCAGCTAGCTCATTAGCTGTTTGCAGAAAATCAGCTAAGTCAATTCCTGCAGTGAACAATCTTCCTTCAGCAGATAACACAATGGATCTACAGTCTTCATCTTCACTCAGTTGATCAAAACATTGTTTGAGTTCCCTATGGCAGTTCAAACACAATAAAGGCACTCTTTTGGATAGTTTCAAATGCTACTTACAACCACATAGGCCTATTCATAGCATTGGCCTTATCAGGTCTGTTCAGCTTAACATGATATACAAAGTCTTTTGGTTTTGTTATGTTCAGAGTTTGGAAGCTGCTTTGTTGGCTCATTTTTGCAATACCCAAAGACTTATCTAAAATACAAATTACAATAATTATCTGTGGTAATTATGGCAATGAATAATATTATTATTGCTTACAAGATTGCTGAAATATTAGAGGCAATGACCTGGATATTACAAACGGAAACGACATTATAAACTTTGGAAGAAAATTAAAAAGTGCTCACTGTGCTTCTTCTTCTAGTGCTTCTGTAAATTCCTATCTCCAATTATTCATTTTCATCAGTTCATAAATTTGGAGTATTTGGACTTTGGAGTGCTTTTTATTTGGCTCCAGTAGAGGCAGTGACACGGCACCACAGAATAATAATTAATGTATTGCACTGTCACTGTCACATTGACAACTATTCAATGTAGCCAACTGCAAACAATGTGTTAAACACTGCCAACTGTCAAGTACTTAGTAATGATATGACAGCCACGTCACAGTACTGATATCAGATTAGTTTACAAAATATATAAAATATGAATATTTTCCGATTACTTGGAGATTTATCTCATTTAATAGCTATTATTATTCTTCTGCAGAAAATATGGCATACGAGATCTTGTGCTGGTAAGTTTCATACTTTGCATTCATCATTGGGTTCCTCGTTATCAGCTCCCATTGGAGCCTAATCACAACCTTCAAGTACATTTCAAATTGATAATTCATCGGTTGAAAAGCGTGGCAAATAACTATTTCTTGTATTACCAGAAATTGCATGCAAAATTATAGCAGTTGACCGTTTTTGGGGGGCTTATAAAAAAGCACTATCCATTGATAGGCATGTTGAATATCCACGTCAAACATATCCTAAATTAGTTCTTTTCCTAGTTAAGTAGTAGTCCCATTTCGGCTAATTTCTTAGAGAGTAGAAGGGGACCGTGGAAAATATTTCATTAATCATTTCAATAGAATCATGGTGATATGAAGAGAAAATGTATTTTCATCAAATCCTTTCAATGTATCTACTATACATTATATACTGGGAATAAACTTTTGATCTCTCATTCCAGACTTGTTGGCAACTAAATTGATACAGCAAATTATTTATTTTCAGGCATATCAGGCAGAAGTCAAGTTCTATTTGCCCTAGTGTACACAACAAGATATCTTGACCTGGTCACCACTTATGTTTCCATGTACAATACCTGCATGAAATTCGTGTTTTTAGCAACTTCCTATGCTACAATCTATCTGATATACCTGAAATTCAAGGCTACTTATGATCACAACCATGACACCTTCAGAATTGAGTTCCTTATTCTTCCTGCATTTGGTCTGTCCATGCTAATCAATCATGAATTCTCATTCATGGAGGTGAGTAACTAATATCCTTATTAAATATGAGGAACTTTGTTGGTAAAATAACCAGAATGAGGTAAAAAAATGGCCAAATAGCTGGTACCTATCTGATTATGTCAATGGTGAAAATCTTGGGTAATTATTTCAGGTTTTATGGACATTTAGTATTTATCTTGAATCTGTGGCTATTTTGCCACAACTTTTCATGGTGAGCAAAACAGGAGAGGCTGAAAGTATCACTTCCCATTACCTATTCGCCCTAGGATCCTACAGAGGCCTTTACATTCTCAACTGGATCTACAGATATGCCACAGAAAGTCATTATGATCTCATAGCTATTGTGGCTGGTGTTGTACAGACCATTTTATATTGCGATTTCTTCTATCTTTATATCACAAAGGGTAAGTGAACTATTTTTAAAACCTCATTTAAAGGATGATGATCATTTGGAAAATGCTAGATAATTCCCATTGAAGTTTAAAGATATTTTCATTGGAAATTGAGTAGTATCTTCTATAAATATTGGTTTCTCATATCATTTTTTGAATGAGTATTGAATCCTTATCTCAACCAGTAAAAACAAACAAGAGCTTAGGGACTTACAGATAACAAAATAATTTCAATGAATGCAGTAGTCACAGAAAATACTGGATTTTTTCACACAATGATTACTTTCTTGAGTTTAGTGCTATTTCTATGTTATTAGAGTTTGCATTAGATTGATTGATTTTTTCTTTTCAGTACTCAAGGGGAAAAAATTACAGTTACCAGCCTAATGTAGATCTATCTTTTGGTTCATGTACTGTACAAATTTCACAACTTAACTTTTCAAATAAATGGTAGTATTTCCAGAGGTATTTCCAATCATGAAAGATAATGTTGATGTTTAGATCAGCAATTTTGGGTGAACAGAGTCCCCAAGTTTTTACTCTGTAATAATATTTATGTATTAAGTAGGTAATATCCAATTGTAATTAATTATTATATTTTCTAATATAAATTGTGTCTTGAAGCATGCCAATAACATGCCATTAGCTTGAAAGTGTGGACAACCAAATGAGGAAAATCTAGTAAAAAGGCAATCATTTTGTTGTATTTTTTTTTCTTGAAATTTTGAGAATCATCTATACAAACTTTCTCACATCATTGTGCTCACATCTCACATCAAAATATATTTGACAGCTCAATTGGTGGCAAATAATTCATCTGATACCACTCACTAGATCTTTCTCGTTTTTCTGAGCATGGTTTCATTCATTTGATCATGATGTATTACATGGATTTATAAGAATAATGCCATTACACGTGTTGAAAAGTATTACTTATTTTTATTTATTTGAATCTCAGAAGTTAAACTTTCCTACAGAACACATTTTTCCATATTTTCCAATCTTGTTTAGGCCAAGATTCAAGCTTGAGGTTCAAATTGTCAATGACATCATAACACAACTGCATTGAAGATAAGCCTCAGTCAAATTTATCAGGAGATATATACTGAGTGCCCCATTCAAATGAATATAAATGTCATATTTCCAAACAGCATCAGATGAATCCTAAAAATTGCAGGGTTGTTGTTCATAATTCACACACATGCCTAAGTTATCTTCTGGAGATTCCTCTCCAAGGCTTTGTCCAAAATGGACGCCGATTGTGAATGGTATAATATTGCTTTCGATTCTGCAAGGGTCTTGCTCTGCAGGACATAAAGACCGTCCACAGTGGATTGTTTGGCATATGTCACTCAATACTTGATCACCCTCCTGAAAAAAAAAACACTGTTGCAACCCGATATTTGTCGAACAACTCTCCACATAAACTCGTTTGTCTAAGGAACGGCAAGGCTTCGCTATACATTTCAGAAAAAAAATCGTTTCATAAATAAAAAAATTATGAGGGTGCGGCCCGCTTTCAAATGGGTCGCTCTGTACATATAATGAAAACACATCAATATGATACAGTTGCAAATACGTATTCAAAATAGATATTTCCTAAATCTTCTAATGGGGGAGACCACTGATTTTTTGAATCGACATTATCGTGAACTTTGAATTTTTTCATTAACGCTAAGACGATGAAAAAAATAAATAAGAATATGTCCATTTCAAAACACACAATTCCTACGCCATTTGAAATTTTGTCAATTCATTGGTGTGACTGGTGCGACGTCTTAGTCCCAACACGCCTATTGTCCTTGAACTGACCAATCACACTGCAACACTGCAAAATGACGAGGTATCAGAGAGAGATAGCCACAGTTCGGGACTAATACGTCACTGCTCCACCATTATACTTGGTTTTTTGAAATATCGAATGAAATATGCTGATTTCAAAACGATATAGATTCGATTTCCTTCAACTTCAACTCATAATATTGATTGTACATAAAACGTAAATCATGATTCGTCGATTGTAAGAGGTTTGCACGGATTTCTTTCCTCAGTGGTCTTCCCCATTATAACGATAAATTTCATCTTGAAAATTGAACAAAAATTAAATGAAAAATTTATACGGAGGTGCCGTAAAATTTTATTTTGATCCGTATTTTTTTAAAGAGACCTTTCTTAGGGTTCATATTAAATGTGTTAAGTTCAGCTGTTTAATGTCAACCTGTATCCTTACCAAAATCAGATCTTCTGGATTGCAAGGAATGACAATTTTATCATTACAAAATTCTCCACTATCATTTTGAATAATGTTCGATTCATCTTCAAGGTCATCTCCGGATCCCAATTCATTGTTTGAATCGATATTAACATCTGCGGTATTTGGACTAATTCGAAAAGCATTTTCATAACAAGGCTCATAAACGATACTGCACATGTCTTCTGCTTGCTCTATACAAATATTGTATTCTTGGTTCGCCAAATGACGACCGTTATCCGCAAAGTTCATCGTTTTGATGACTCCTCGTCTTCCTAAAAAAACAAATTTTCTGGAATTTCGATTTGTCTCACAGTAGGTCAGAAGAACATCCTCACAGAACAGGAATAAACGAAAGGACAGTTGAACAAAAGAAATAGGTATGTACATACCTTTCCATCATGCTGTTTTACCATTCACCTCACCGATATTCGCCTTCATATATTGGAATTGCCTAGATGTTCCTTAAATCTAGTTGCAATGGGGTTTCCAGTTTGTCCTACCTATGTCAAGCGTTAAATTAGGCAAATTTCAATGTAGGAGTTGTAGGACAGACTGGAGGACTCATTTAAACTAGATTCAAGGAACACTTAACACAATGAAAGCATCGTAGAATAGAATTAGTGTGAGAAAAATCAGCAAACTAACCGGTGTACAGTTGAAGACAACCTGCAGGAGCCCTTTGCGAGAATGGTACTTGGATGATGCGTACTTCCCACAAACGACTGAGTGTTTTGCTGCCCAATTTCATGCTGATCGTGATTGGATCAGCCATCGTTTCAATATCAAAATAAACTGAAAAAGAAAACTAAGTTTCCATCGGAGTATTTTTATGTTAGGAATCTATGATTTTTTTACCGTGCTGCCCACTGTTGACCCCACAGATAGTCAATGTTTGTGAATCACCCGAAGACAACTGAAAATAATCCTCTTCACAAACACCTGTCTTTCTGTTAGGTTGTCCCTTAAAAAAATACACAGAGTGACCCATTTGACAATTTTTTTAAAATGTAGAGGGGGAAAAGTGTTTTCTGGAGCTAAGCGGCGTAATTTTTTTCAAAACCAAGGCCAACACTGACGTCACCATACTTATTCGACGTATCGTCAAATGGCGGCCATCAAGGTTCGTTTGAAATAAATGAGCTCTGAAATTCAACAACTTCGAACAACAGATTGACTCATTAATCAAATAAAAAAGCGTGGGTGTTGCAAAAATTAATTTTTCTACTCACATAGCTAAAATGGCATTCAGCGAACGGATATGTACCACGCTAAATGATCGATTAATCACGGATTGTCGATCTGTGATTTATTCAAAATATTAAACACGTTACCATGGCAACACGATTTCTTAAACACATTACCATGGCAACGCAGTTCATTAAACACAGCTTCAGTAATATGAGACATGTCTGGCATGTCAATTGTATTAACTGGTCAACTGTTAGGTATTTTCAAATTGTGTATCAAAATTATTCAAACAATATTCGTTTGTATCAGAATTCTTCATTGAAAATATATGCAAAGTGTAGACGAAAGTGAAAACGAAGAGAATGTTCTGGTACTTGCATACCTCCAAGAAGTGTAAAAATGAAGCATCCATCTTTGAGAACAATTTATTTATTCTGCGCTAAGCATGACAATAAACGTGAAACAAAGGTTAGTAAGCAATGGACAAGACACATCTACAACCAATATCACTTATACGTGTCTCCCTGGTTGCATGCAGTTGCATGTTATTATGTTCTCAATTCCCATTCCTTTCGAATTATTTTGTAGGTTAGCAGGAATAGCAGGTATATTAATGTAATTTTCGGAGTTCGTATAGAAAAATCATAGTATGTAACGCGTTTATAAACTCTTCTAGACACTCGTTTATTAAACACTCGCTTCCGCTCTGCTCCGCTCGTGCGTAAAATACTCGTTACTAAAAGGACGTTTATAACACTTGTTACATAATATACTATTATATCTACTCACATAACTATAAATGGCATTTAGCGTACGGATATGTACCACGCTGAATGATCGATTGATCAGGAATTGTCGATCTATGATTTATTCAAAATATTAAACACGTTACCATGGCAACACGATTTCTCAAACACATTACCATGGCAACGCAGTTCATTATAAACACAGCTTCAGTAATTTGAGACATGTCTGGCCTGTCAATTGTATCAACTGTCAACTGTTATTCTCGAATTTTGTATTAGAATTATTCAAACAATATTAGTTTCTATCAGAATTCTTCATTAAAAATATATGCGACAAGTAGACGCGAGAGTGAAATCGAAGAGAATGTTCTACTACTTGCATATCTCCAAGAAGTGTAAAAATGAAGCATCCATCTTTGAGAACAATTTATTTATTTTGCGCTAAGCATGACAATAAACGTGAAACAAAGGTTAGTAAGCAAAATGGACTGGACGGTTATACGTGTCACGCTGGTTGCATGCAGTTGCATGTATTATGTTCTCAATTCCCATTCCTTTCGAATTATTTTGTAGGTTAGCAGGAATTGCAGGTATGTTAATGTAATTTTCGGACTTCGGAGTTCGTAGAAAAATCATAGTATGTAACGCGTTTATAAACTCTTCTGGACACTCGTTTATTAAACACTCGCTCCGCTCTGCTCCGCTCGTGCTTAAACTACTCGTTACTAAAAGGACGTTTATAACACTTGTTACATAATATACTATTCCTAACGACACAGTGGATAATTGAATGCCAATTATTCATTATCAGTCCATTATCGGAATTGAGAAGAGGTAGATTTATGGCAAAACGATATTGATCAATATTTCACGGGTGTGTATAATTTGCGGACTGGAATAAAATGTTGCGGACTGGCTATTCCCATAAAACTTTTCGATGTTTTTATTGCATATCTAGATCCAGCTCACCGATATACACGATGAGAAGTTTCAGTTTTTTTTCTATGACTACTATGACCCCCCTGGGGAGCACTTTACTCCTGTGTTTTTTCATAAAATCTTGCGGACTGGGTATTTTTGAGGGTCAAATTAACCTCCATAAGCAAATTTCATCTGTATCAGTATAGATAGACAAATGTTGATAGGGCGTTTTGTATAGGTATATCGTCTGATTGCTTTCTCGCAAGGCAATAATTACGATCGATAGTTGCGTTAATTGAAAGGGCCGAAAGGGGAGGTACCAGCACCTACTTTTAGAATACTTACCAGATTGAAGTGTACGAAGTCTAACCTGAGTTGCGTGATATCCTCGTCAATTTTTCTTAATTCGAGGTTGCACGAAGACATGCCCTCCGTTAAGTCCGGGAAGTCCGGATTCACGAAGTAGGTGATGTTGTTGATGGATTGTTCGTTACACGTGGCCGTAACTGAAATTTAATTTCCAGAAACGCATATGTTTTTGATTGATCACTGTATATACGATTTTATCAACTAACGCATTTTTTTAAGAATCATTCTTGAAATTGTGCTTCAAGCGGTCTATCTCTGGATCCAAATCATTATGCATTACAAAGGTATCCCAGCGAGCACAAAAACATCTCAGAGATGTTAAAAGTACGAGATTTCAAGACATTGAACCTCCACTGCGATGTTCTGTTCACACATGAATAGAACTATTATAGAACAGCCAATGTCCGCCGCAGGCGGCAATTATCGAGATGTCCTTGATATGTCACAAAACTACCTTCTCCCTAGTTCTTTTTGGAGCCTTTTCATGGACACAACAGAACATTTTCAACGCGTCTTGCGCACATTAAATCGCTGTAAAAAAAAAACATTTTCGAGGTACTTTTCTGAAGCCTTTTGTCAAAATGAACTTTTGCATTAGGATTCCATTTCCCTTGAATGAAAAAATGCATTAAAAATAGATTGAACATAAAAATATTTTCTTGATATGAAATTACCTTCTTAATCGGTTTCTGAGTAGTGCTTACTACACACAGACATATAATTGGAAATAGGTTTCCCAATTTTTGAAATGTTCTCCACAATGCATAATTTTGCAACTGCGGAGAAGCTGTGTATTGATGAATTCGTACTTTTATATATTGATTACACTGAGGCACCGAACAACACATCTTGCATCTGATGGTCATTATTACAAACTAAATAAGTCTTCTAACACAATAAACTTCACCAAATTCCTTTCTGTTCGTTAGCAGCGTGATGTAAGCGTGACACGCTGCAAACGCGAATGCCAATTGCGAACAAGAAGAACAAAACCGAAAACAAATCAGAATTCATCGTATTGTGACGTAAGCATGAGACGTTGTGGTGGGGCAAACAAAGAAAGGGCACAAAAGAACAAAAACAATACTTTCAATATCCTTCTGAGACCTCGTTGGGAAGTGCATATTACGCCTCAAAAAAACATCCTCATGCCTACATTTCTAAAACATCCCAGGGATACCTCTCAGTAGGCAAACAAAGAAATGCCACAGAAGAACAAAAACAATACTTCAATATCCTTCAAAGACCTCTTTGGTCAGTGCATATTACGTCTCAAAATAACATCTTCATGCCAACATTTTCAAAACATCCCAAAACATCCCAGGGATGTTTGTGCTCGCTGGGATAGTATGCCATGGACAATTGACGGCATTTGAACGAAATTCAATTCGACACTTCTGTCATCATGAATTAATTGATTTGTATATTGTGTAACTGCATTTGAAAGTTTGGGTTAGAAATACGTTCGGAATATCAAGAAGCATAGGATATCATTGGAATTCAAAAAAGGATGATATTGTTATTTGTTTTAAAATAATGATAAAGACATCGATACTTGGAAAGTTTTTTCTTTTATTGAAATGGAACACCCAATATTTATTTTCATCGGAGAAGAATTCCAATGAACATCATAAATGTCTAGAAAACGCAATTTTTGAGTTATTCAAGATTTTTCGGAATCATTGGCAGAGCAAAATATTTTTCGAAATCAAAACTAGTCAGCTTGATTTTTCAGGATCTACATAAATGCGACCTATATTAGCTACCTAAATTTTTGAACAATTTTCAAAAATATCTTACAGGTGCTTGAAAATTGGAGCCAAATTTTCCTATTAAAAAATATACTTTTTTTCTTTTTCTCTTCGCCACAGTGATTCTACGCTGAAAAATCAGGGGACTTTACGTTTTAATATCAAAGTTGAACGATCTTTCTTGAATCAACAAAATATTTCATCGAATGAAATGATGGAAAAAATATCAAGTGACCTATACTTATTTTCACTTTGAAACATTTGCATATTATTCCATACTTGGCTATTATCATCATTTCGAGTTCAACAGTACCGGTTTTGATGGAGGGTATACCTACGTCATCCAATTACGAATATAATATAATTATGGTCAAAGAACTGATTCAATGATCTCAAGGTTTTTCAATCAAGATTTTTTTTGGAAAAGATATGGATGGAAATATTCCACTTACTTACAAACACAACACACACCAAAGCCGAGGGCACAGAATCCATGAGATTTTCCTTCCCGAATTTTGCATTCGTAGGTGTTCATGCAAATGCCTGAAAAATAGTTGAAATCAGGTAAAAACCATTCTTTGAATAGCTATCAGCATAAATTGAATTAGTGACATTTTTGCCAAAATTGATTATTCTGCAGATTTTGTGTCTATCCTGTATAAACAGTTATAATGATTTTTCGTTTACGATTGAATTTCAAGTGTAAACTCGTCTTCAGAGATCATGTCGCACATGGACGGTGTCAACTCCCTTGATCACCGCTGCAATAAGAGCGCTCATACAGTCTAACCGCTACATGTTCGGTGAAGACGAGTGTACAACTCAAAATTTTTTTCCACAGTTTCCAATTGAGAAAACAATACCAATAGGTTTTGAGATGAAGTCTGAGCCAACTACGAATGATTTTCTAGAATATATCATAATTTTAACACTAATTTCGTCGCACCCCAAAATTTTGCCTCTATTGAAATATGAATAACTTTTTTCTGCTTTGAACGATTTCAATTCGGATCACACTGTTCGCTAGCCCAATCCTTCTAGCCCAGTCACCTTAGAAAAAATAGCGGGAATCGGAGCCAAAGTTTTGAAAATTGGTGTACGTGTTCCTTTTAGCATTACATCTTACCAAAAAAAAGTCACAACCCATACCTGTAGAGCTTGCGCCGCCATCTTGGAAAATGGGTGCAATATTTCAGTTTTTCACGTATATCTCGGTAACTGTCAACTTTATCGCGATAAAGGTGGAGAGGTAAAAGGAAGCTAACAAAATTTATCGTAAAAAAGTATTCATTGATTATTTCCGAAATATGCACGGTTTTGGACTTATGTCGCCACAACGATTTGGCAAAATATAAAATTCTACTGCAAACCGACTGGACAAACTATAATTTAGTTGTATACGCTCATGGTGACCAGTAGAAAAGCTGCTAGATCTCATAATCAAGAGTTTCAGGATGGACAGAGTTGCCCCAATTGTCAGCAGGAGCAGGACAGTACTGTTTCGACCCACCAGGTCTCATCAGCCGCTCTCGTTCTGCTGACAACTGGGACAACTCTACGCTTCGGGTATATCACCCATTTCGAAGACGCAGGGTATAACATGGAGAATAAGGCATGTATTCTTCGTTATTTGAAAATACAACCATCGGATCGGGTTCGTCCGGAACATCGTATTCATAACTTAGAAGAGATGAAACGGAAAAATCGAACTTCACCTCGGATTCCAGTGTTTCGGCGTTGTCCTGACAGTATTGTGCGTTGAGGCACGATGCTCCAAGGCAATATTCGCAACTAATCGAGCATTTAAGACCCGCATTCGCAGGCTGCCGTGCATCCTTTCTTGCAATCGCTAGAAATCATCTGGAGCAAAGAATCTGGAGCAGCAGATAGGGTAGTTGGCACAGGTGGCAAAGAAGCCAGATCTACTTCTTTTTTGTAGCGGATTTGGCTAACAGATTGTACCGTAGCTTCTTCAATGATGTTTTCGTTTTATGGGCATCATACAGAGATAGAAAGAATCTTTCACATGTAGTAGACACTTCTTCACTCTTAGCTTCCGGGTTGTTGAAAGCCTTCGCAACTTCTCGTAATGATGGCCGGTCCTTCATGAGTTTGAAGCATTTCAACTTCCCTTTTTTAAATAAACATGTGGTATCACAACCCCCAAAGGTATGTAAGAGAAGGATAGTGCTCTGTTATTTAATACTGGTTTGTAGTTCGCGGGAACAGTAGTATACCTTTTTGCCTTTATACATTGCCTTTTTTTGGTTTCACAAAATAAATGTTGCGTTCTGCTGGAGCCAAAGCTATGAGTAGAATACGTAGATCTACATTTTATCCAACAACGGTGACTTGGGTAGAGGAAGACATTTCAATATAGCTGTCTGTATTGTTAGCGAATCCGCATCGTCCACTGCTTGCTTTGTGATGAACCCTTCATTTTTTCTGATAATATAGCAATCAATCGCTTCTTGTTCTTCGGGTTAGCTAGTAATTTTTCTTGTGCGACAGTGACCGGCATGTTTTCATCAAACAAAACATAATATGTCTGCACATGTATTTTTAAGAGTACGTCTATGCTGTTCAGCCTTTTTAGTTCCATCAGCATCATCAGAGTACCCGTCGAAAACAATCACCGAATTAGAGCCGTAGTGTTTCCTGACGTAGGCAATGTAACTGGAGCAGATTGACAGGAACGTTTGATTTTACTGCTAAATCATACGATGTAAAAGTAAAAAACCATTAATATGTGGCACTTTATCAAGACTCCTTCAGAACGGCTAGGCTCTGAAATTCATTGCCTGTGGAAGTATTCCCAACAACATATAATCTCCAAAAGTTCAAAAAAAATTCCAATACCTACCTCCTGTCCCTATCCTCCCTAGGAACGCGCGATGTTCTTTGAACATTATAGGGATACCCTTTCGTGCGCTCCAAGCAATAAAAAAAAACACTGGTATTCTGTAATGGCCGATCGCTGTTTTGTGTTGCGAGGATCCTTGAATATGGCGCCGACTCTCTGAGAGTTACTTGTAGTTGGAATATATGTATATCAGAATAATTATGAGTAAGTTTCTCAAATATCGCATATTGTTTTACGATTCACTGATAAACCATGCACTAAACGAGTATTTATGTAGAAAACTTTTTTTTTCTAAATTCAATTTCCTTCATTTTACCTTAGCATATTGATATCGATAAAGTTAACAGATACTGAGATATAACCGAATAACTGAAAAAGTGCACACATTTTTCAAGATGGCGGAGTTAGCTCTACAGGTACAGGTGGTGACTTTTTTTTGGTTGAAAGTCATGCCAAAGGGAACGTGTACACCAATTTTCAAAACTTTGGGTTCGATTCCCGCTATTCGTCAAATTTGATACTA